CCCCCCCTCCTATCAAACATCCAAAGTCTTTTTAGCTCCTCGTTCTTTAGATGGCCTAAAAGAAAGGGAAGGATTGTGTGGAGATGTGTGAGGGCTGCTACATGCTGGACTTTATGGGAGGAAAGGAATTCTAGAATTTTCTCCGAAAAGGAAAGAAGCAAAGAAGGAATTATTGAAGCCATAACAGTTAGGGTAGTGCATTGGCTAAATCTGTGCAACTTTTTGATGATGTGTCTACTGATATGTTGTTGAATAGCTGGGTGGAAGTGGCCAATTCGGCTTGGGCTTGGTCTACGGCTTCTCTTGTGTGGTCACCACCTGGCAATGGCTTTATAAAGCTAAATTTTGATGGGAGTAGTGAAGGTAACCTAGGCCCTTCAGGTGTAGGAGGTGTCTTCAGAGATGAGGAGGGGAAAGTGTTGGCATTGTATTCAGGCTCCATTGGGATTGGGGATTCTTTGAGAGCTGAAATCTATGCTGTATTGAAGGTATTAGAAGGAGTAAGGAACTGAATATACAAAAATTAATTATTGAAGGGGACTCAAAGTTGGTGTTGAGCTGGCTGCAGAGGGGAAGTGGTCTTTGGAAGTTCGCTAATGAAAAGAAAGGAAATCAAATGGCTAACTAGGGGGGATGGAAATAAAGTTTCAGTGGGTGAAAAGAACAGCAAATGCCTTTGCAGATGCTTTGACAAAGCAGAGTGTGGGAAGGATTCATTTGTACTGGGCTGTATTGTGAGCTTGTTGTTGCTTTCTTGAGAGTGTTAAGCCTTTTTAACTCTCTAATTGCTGTACTGTTGTTCATATTATTAATTTAATGAAATTCTGTTATTGATAAAAAAAATAGTCTGCAATTCATAGACATGCGTATTTAGGTAACCTTTGTTTTTCTTAGGTGGGCATACTGTTGTTTTCTTATCATTGAAATTATGTAAAGAAGAATGTATCTATCAATCTTTCTATCTATATATGCATATGCATAGTTTCCTTTTATCTTTTTCAAACTTTGCTCCAGGTAGAATGGATGTATACATGCCTACATTCCAGTAGACATGCAAGATTATGGTAAACTAAATTTATTTTGTGCTGACATGTTATCCCTTTTCAACTAGCAAATTCTTGATGTACTTTTTACAAAGCATGCAAACCAGCTTTGGATTAGCATAAATTTATTGGAGATGTTATGCTTAAACTAAGCTATCATTTCAAGAAAATTTTGATTTTGGAACCCATCACTTTATCAGGATGCAGCGTAAAAAGGGTCAGTTCACATCATCTAAGGTAAGTTCTGATGAAATGGGTTCGTCAAGTGGTACACCAGGTTCTGGACAAGAGGATTTGCAACAAGAAACTTTGTGAGTCCCCAAACCATCTTCTGAGGAAAATATGTAATAATAACATTCACATATTTGCCTTTTCTTCTTATCTTCGTTTTGTTTTTATCTTTATTTTTATCCTTTATCCTTTTATTTTACTGTGGTGTGTGACATGATTTACTTTTGCTGTAGTTTTTTTTTTTAATCTTCATATGTTGTATATAGATGTCTACACTGTGGCACTAGCTCAAAGTCCACTCCTATGATGCGTCGTGGGCCAGCTGGCCCCAGGACCCTGTGCAATGCATGTGGACTTATGTGGGCAAACAAGGTTGGTGTACCCATAGGTGTTGATTTCTACGATTTTTTTTCATTGCTACATTCAATTCAATCATATTGGAAAAGAATAACTTAGCTCTTGCTTTTCCTTGCTTCATTTCACTTGATCACATTTCATTTTATTTTGTTTTTTTCTGATGAAAAAACTATCATGAGAAGAAAGAGTAAAAAGGGAAGGGGAGGGGGCATATAGGTGCCAAAGAAAGGAGCACAAAGAAAAGAAATGATTAGTATAGAGCAAGAGTCAGGACTAAAATCGGGGGACAAAGGAAGTTCTGTGCCACATAATATGGTTAGACTTAGAGGTCCTCCTTACCAAGCATATCTTTTTTATGTTGGCTAACCTGGTGACATGTTTTCTAGCATTGGAAATTCTTTGATGTCATTTTCATATTATCCAACCTTGTGCCACCCTAGTGTCATTGGTTTGATGTGAGACATGCAATCACTCTAATTGTTGAATATCCATATAACCTCTTGTCATCTTGACGTATTTAGTTAGGGAGCCAAGGGCTTGCCATCAGAATAAACATCTCATTTAAATGGGCCCTAAGTTTCATCAATTTATTGGTCAATAACCAAGGGTGGCAACATCAAGTTCTGAGTTGTATTGGGATGATATATTTCCAAGATAATTGTACCTTGCTCGATTACCAATTGGGGCTTTGGTCCTTGCACCTAGCTGTCGGATGCTAGTCCTTGTCTTTTTTGTTTCATATTTCATTTTTATAAATCTTTTTGCTTAAACTAAAGTTGTAGGTGCAAGTGACTCCACTAGAGCTGATTTTAGCTCTTTTATTAGAGAGTTTGACTTATTCTCTTCTCTTGGCTTTTAGTGAGTAGAGATGGAGGTAGAGGGAGTCTAACTGGTTCTTACCAAGTTAATGAAGAGTGGCTTGGATGTCCTAGGGACCTTGAGCTATTTAGTTTTTTTTTTTTTTTTTTTTTTATAATTCCTTGAGGTATTTAGTTAGGGAGCCAAGGGCCTTGCTGTCAGAGTAAATGTCTCATTTAAATGGGTCCTAAGGTCCAATTTATTGGTCAATAACCAAGGGTGACAACATCAAGTTCTGAGTTGTATTGGGATGATATATTTACAAGATAATTGTACCTTGCTCGATTACCCATTGAGGCTTTGGTCCTTGTTCAATTACAAATTGTGCCTTGCTTGTCCTTGTAATTTGTCTTTTTGCTATCTCATATTTCATTTTGATCAATCTTTTAATTTTTGATGAATTCATTTTGATTAATCATTTGCTACCAAAACAGATAACTTTCTTCATTTTGCTTCTTTTTTGTCCATGAACTGTGAAAAGGTGGGACTGGATTCTACATTTTCTCACAAGTGGCCACAATAATGAAGTCAGGAAATTTCCTCTGGGATTACCTAGATATAACAAACTTATCCAGAAAATAAAAAAGTATTGCCACATACTGAGAGGCAATAGAGGAATGGAAATAGGACTTACATATCTAGACCCCACCTCCATTAATTGGGATTACCTAGATATAACAAATTTTGAATACTCATGTCTATCACATATCAATGTTACTCTGCTAAGGTCTTCCACCTTCAGCTATCACTCTTTTTCTTTTTCACTTTTCCCTCTCTTTCATTCATTCTTTCTATCTTTTATTTTCTTCTTATTTCCGCATGCAAAAAGGGAAGGGGACATTTTTTAATATATAAAGGCAAGAACACATTGACAGTGACTACGTGGTTCTCTTCACCAAAAGTTGACAGAAGTTTGGCTTTTTCTTCACTCTCTTTGAGATCTCTCTTGGTGGGAATGAGTGCCATTTAGATGGGCAAGTTAGGATATTGTTGAATGGTGGAGAAAAAAATTAATGGGATCCTTTTTCTCTTTTTATTCTTTTGTGTGCACTGTTGCATATTTGTAAAGGGTATGGGGCCTGGGGGAACCCGGCAGAAACATTTGTTCGGGAAAGGTTTAGCTTTGAGGGGGATGCATATCTGAGCCACTGACTCAGACAATGAAAAATTTCGACCCTGGAGCTTATTTGCCAACTTTTCTATCTATATGAAAGAAGGGAATTTTTAGATTCCATGACAATTTGAAAGCTTTTGTTTTTTGACAATGAAAAACTTGATGGCTAGATGTTGTCAACTTGTGAAACATATATTTTCGTTTCCTAGAATTTTGGAAGAAAGCCTGATTGGCATGTAAGGCTTCTGAACTTAGTAGTAAAAGTGGCATTTTTCTATCTTCTTATTTGTCCTCCAAAAAGATTTGATGTCATGTTCTAAATAGAGAGATAAAGAGAAACTTGGCAGACAAGATTTGTATGTAGCTTCATACAGGGCCTCTTTGTACCTTTTGACAGCTTAAATCTAATTGTGTAGCAAGAACAGGTGTTAAGGTTAGTTTATTTGTTTTCCCTTTTATTGCTATAAATCACAAATGTATCATAAGAAATTGAAAGCACTCCTGTGGACTATCTTGTAATGTTAAAAAAATCAAGTTAGACTAGGAAAACAATGTCTTAATGCATCTAAAAGAGGGACACAGCAGAACTGTTACAAGAGGACCCAAATGAGACTTTCTACAAGATGGGGAAAAAATCAAAATTGACTAGTGAACAGCCCAAGAGTTCAATGATATGGACAGGAATCTTGTGTTTCAAGTTTCCATACCCCCCCTTCCCTGACAAATCTTCCAGCCAACTTGCTAGCAGAATTCAAGACCAATTGAGTCAGGGGTTGAGTAATATGGATAGGGTTCCTGCGTTCTAATTTTATAATGACCTCAACCCCAGGGACCAACTGAAGCATAAATGCATCCAATTACTGTTTTGTTGTTTAAATGGCATTATTTTCTCATTGATTTACCCAGTGTCAAAGCACATCAGAAAGCGAAATTTCCATGATGGAGCAACAAGAGTAACAGCCTGGGATGTTAACAATATTGAAGGCACGGCTTTTGGCAATGTGTATTAAATCTGTTAATCTTTGTGTTAAAAATCCATGAATTTTGTGCTTCAGTTTAGTATAGTTAATATTACATATTCCAAAGTTGAAAAAAAAAGAGAGTCCAGCCCATTTAGGCTCAATCAATTTTTTGTTAAAGGATTAACTATTTTTTGTGGTGATTTATTGAGTTGCCTTACCTGTTGATGCTGGGAGACCTGCAGGGGACTTTAAGAGATCTTTCGAAGGCTTCGACTGTTGGAGCCCAGGATCATCCTGTTGTGAACCCAACTGGACAGGCATGTATCACCGAAATGTGAAATCTTGGCCTATTAGATTATTCCTTGTAGTAGTAATAGTCTCTTCTTTTTTGGTTTTCTTCACAGGTTTTAGCTATTGAATCTGCTGTCGGTACCACCAGAGAGATAACCGCAGAAGTTGTTACTTCCTCTAATGGAGATAACTCAACTGTGACAGCGGCACATTAACTGTTATGCTTCAATTCCTTCCCCATTGGCAAGGCCATTTAGGTTGCCACTAACATCAGATCTCAAAGGAATAGAAGGTTTTCCATTAATTTCTTCCGGCTCGCTGTTATAGATTGTACAGATGATCTAGTGTTTTGATAAATACATGAGATCATTTTCCTAGCTTATATTGTTCACCAATATTTTCATATTAATAACTAGTAAGGCTCAATTTGGCGTCCTTTCTTTCTTATGTTCAAAACCCACGGATTATTGCCTCTCACGCCCTAAAAAATAAATAAATAAACTAATCAGAGAACAGGGGTTAGGGACTTTTCCAAACACTACAGACCACTCCTACAACCATAAAATATTTGTAGCCATAATGTCATTTTGGGAAAAACATGGCTATGAAAGCTATCACAGACTTTAACGGAGAAACAGTGAAACACTTGCAAAAAAAAAAGAAGACTTTAACATAGAAAGGGCTTATTTTCTTGAGAATTTCCTACGGGAATCTCAGGTAAACCATTTTTCAGGGAAATCTATATGCCCTCTGTGACTATGTATAAGAAATGTTTTGGTCAGGTATTCGTATGGTAGGCCTTCCCTTTCTCTAACCGTTTGAGTGTTTGACCTATGCCAGCAAAACAAAAAAAAAAAAAAAAGGGAAAAGTACGGAAACACACGATGATTCTTAATTCCAGCCCCCCCTACAACTAGCCCTCTCCCCTCTATAAACCACATCCTGCCCGTGAATTTGACATCAATTAATGGTCAGGATGCATTCCCCCCGTACTTTGGGCCTAGTAAATTCTGAGGCTGATTGGTACTTGTCCCAAAAAAAAAACGATTAGACAGGGGTGATCATGGGCCTGGTACTTGTCCCAAAAAAAAAACGATTTCCAGGCCCATGACATCTAATAATACAAATTTTAAATTAAATTAAATTGCATGTAATATATTTAAAAAAACTTCATGACGCAAGCACAAGGTAAATTAAAAAAAGGCACTGGCCTAATTTAATTCATAGAGTTGGTTTGGCATGGTTTACCTATCTTTTTATAGATGAAGGCTAGGCATCTATTCTCATTCTTGAGCAATATGGGACTTGGAACAACACTAAATATTGAGTGCTATTATTAAAAGAGTTCACACATGTATTGACATGTGTCAACTAATTAATATTTATTTATATATTATAATTTAAAATTTATATATTTTATATAAAATATTAAACATAAAATATATATATATTATATTGCGGGCTGGGCTTGAAGTGTTAGGCTCAAGCCCAGCCCAAAACCTTTCAGGCTTGATGTGGGCTCGGGGCAAGGCGTGCTGGCACACAAAAACTTGGGCCCAGACCCAGAAATTTGCGGGCTGGGCCGGGCCAAGAATGATCACCCCTACGATAAGACGACGCAAATATCGTTGTTACTGTTTTTATCTAATTGGAAGTTGGAAGAGAGTATGATTCTCTCTGAGGACAATAAACCGGTCAGATAGATAAATAAGTTTGTGATATTACGAAAGGTTTGGCAACTTGCAATTGAATACTTAACCGTCTCAAGTATTTGGATAATTTTCACTGAAGAGAATTCTTGTCAGGGGTCCCTTCTCCAGTGCTCCTGCACTGCCGCTTGGCCAGGCCCAATACGGTGGAAAATCTTGAAATCCGATAGCCAATTTGCACCCCAGTATCTCTGGTTTTTTTTTTATTATTATTTTTGAAACTTTTGAATATTGCCCTGGACAAGTATAACCAAGAAGTCAGAATTCAGGCAGAATTCTTTAAATAGTCATTTTCAATGATTTTGCACAAAGGTTCCCTTTTTTTTTAATATTAGTAAATGTATACGTGCATTTGCATATGCATATGGATATGATAATATCTTTAAGATAAAACTATTTATAATTTATGAACAATTTTTAAACTGTTACAAATGGGCAGTTTTTAAAGTAAAAGTAAAAGACATATGCCTATTGTATTATCAAACAAAAGGATAAAAATTTCAAAATAAAGAGCCATTCGCTCTCTTTTATAAGTAATATAGGTATGAGTTGCTGACATCTTGATTTGATAGGTTGTTGCCAGATTCCAACTGTTCAAAATTACACTCTCCCTTATACCCCACCCATATCTACATGTCACGTGCTAGTATAGTAGTATAATATAACAGCTTCTGTTACTTCTGCTGTTTCTGCCATTCTGATTGCCGTAACTGTATTTGGTCTTGACTTGTCTCTTTGACTCTTCCTTTGTCTCTACCTAAAAGTTTATTTTTTCATGGTTAGATGTATCGGCAGCTTTTATCTAACTAAACAAACTTGCTTGTTTTCCGTGGATTACCTTTTTTTTTATTCTTCCAAAATTTTCTCAAGTGTCTATTTTTGTTTTTGTTTCTTAGGCCTCTATAACTTGTGTCAGTGGGCATTTTATCATTATGACTCGGCTTTAAAATGTAAATATGTACAAATATAAATATATACAAAACACAAGACTTTGACCAAACTGATATGGATCATGCCGTGACAAGCAATCCCATTGTTTTCTTCTGGTCGGGGGAATTGACAGAAGAGTGTGAAGCTCTACGGTCATGGCAGGTTGCCCTAGGGATGTTAATTAGTCTGGATTTGGTCTAATCCAGTCCAATGTAAGTCCATTATAAATGGATCAGATGCAATCCAATTTAATGAATATTTTGAACCGGTTCAATTTAATGTCTGGTCTGAACCATTTAAGTTTAAATTCATTTTAGTTTAGATTGGTTTCAATCCAAATTCAATTCATTGATATCTATATTCTTATCTATCAATGGACCACATCACCCAATTCAATATAAATTTATTATAAACGGATTAGGTCCAATCCAATCTAATAAATATATTGGATTGGATTAGTCCAATTCAATACATTTTATTAGTCCATCCAATCCGTCCAAATTGATTTTAGTATAGATGTAGATTAGATTCCTGCAACCATTCAATTTAGAGAATGGGTGGGGTATTAGTGGTGCATATATCAATCGTTCAGTTCGAATAAGTGACCCGTTTTGACTTAAAATTAAAAAAATAATAATAATAAAAAAGATCAAAAATTATTGTTCGGGTTGATAGTTCAATCGCCCGGGCCAGTGAATCGCTGACCAAATCAACTGTTTTTGGCCAAAAAGCAGTTTTAGAGTGAAATGGAACTGGTTACCTGACTGGTTCTCAATTTTTCTGGACTACACAACCAGGGGATAGTCCATCCCCAACCCTGGTGCAAGCAGGATTCAATCCCCAAGTATCCACTACAACTAACATGAGGTCTTACCAACTACCTAATCGGCACCTTGTAACTCCAAAATTTTCATTTAACAACTTTTATGAAACCATACCAATGATAAAATAAGGTGGCGTTCCGTAATGTATTGATCTCGTGAATAGAATTTATGGGTTCCATGTATTTTATCACTGATGTATCGCGTTCAGCTAATCCCATCTCCTTAAAGGCTTGCAGACAAAGTTGGATTAGATAAGGATCATAATGATGCATCTAAAAGATATGAGACATGATGGCGGGTAAAATCAAATCTTTTAAAACATGACAAGGAGATACGGTTGTCCTTTACTTTTTTCTTTCTTTGTTTTGATAAAGATACTTTTCTCATTTTAAATTTGTAAAACAGTAATCCATGTGCATCAAAATAATTTACGAAAGGTTAATGGTCATAAAAGGTTGTTTGATATTCTGTTTAGATGGTATTATGGACATTTTATAAATCTCATTAAAGTTAGAATTTAACGCACTTTTTGTTTTGTATTTTTTGATAAGTCACTTTTTTACTTTCGTATGGCTATAGAATTTGCGCACATGCACTTTTAAAACTCTAGTTTGGAAAAGGAATTATAATGGGACAAGGAAAATTAATGAATCACTTTTACCACCCATGGTTCAAAGTATTGACATGCACAATCCAAAAATTGTATATTGAGAGATTCAAAGGGACGATACTCTTGGTTTCAAGTTTTAAATTTTGAATAAGAGAATCTAGGGGCATCAATTGGATTTGATTTGGTCCAATACAGATAGATTAGGTCCAATCTAATTTGATGAATACTTTGAACCATTTTGGATTGGTCCAATTCAATGCCTAGACCATTCAATCTATTTAAATTGGTTTTAATTTAGATCGATTCTAATCTAAACCTGGTCCATTGATACCTGTATTCTTATCTTCTATCAATGGACTAAATATTGGTTCAATCCAATATAAATTCATTATAGATGGACTAAGTCCAATCCAAGCCAATAGATACTTTGGATCATTAAGTCTGGACTGGTCAAATTCAACATGTCTAATTGGTCCGTCCAATCTGTTTAAATTGATTTTGATTTGGACAAGGTCCAATCCAAAAGCAATCCATTGACACCCTAACAAAGATTGTCAAGAAAGGGTATTAACAACCGAAAATGACCTTTCCTCTTAACCCCTAATATTTGGCATTTTGATGGATTCAAAAACTAATGCATATAGTGTGATAACATGTTTATGTATTTTGAACCTTGCTATCACCTATATGGATGATAACTTTAGTTTACCTAAATTTAAGAAGCAAATACCCTTTGAAGCATTACAACTAACCATTTTGAACACCATCATGAGAAAAAAAAAAAAAAGAATTAAGCATTTAATATAGTGCTTATTATACATCCATCAAAAGTGTGTTTTAAAGGAGAGTCCAACAAGGGCACATTCATTAATACTGGTTGCACATTAAATCTATATTTCAACCAGTCACATTAAAGTCTACTTACTTTTTATTAGTTCATGTTTCACTAAATGTACTTTCACATTTAACAAGATGTACTTGTCATTGTTCAATCAACCATATCTTTTGTTTTCACAGTGAGGTGAATGTACTATAGATTTAGCCTTTGAGGCTTACAAATGCAAATATGTACAATACAAATATACATACAAAATACAAGGTTTTGCGCTCTAAACATTTGTATTTATACTCCTTTCAAATGGAGCTTGAAGGATGCTTGCTTCCAATATTCAAAAAGTGTAAAATTTTCTATCATAATTGGCTTTCTTATTCTACCCAAAAAAAGAAAAGAAAAGCAATCAGCGCCTCTTTTTTTAGAGTTTACTACCTTAAATGGGTAAAAAATGCATTTAGGATTTGAGAAGAAGATTCCTGTCTCTACAAAGAGTCAAAAGGGTTAAAGAAAAAAGGTTAAAAAAAAAAAAAAAGATGTAGCTTTTGAAAGAAGCACTTACTTTGTCTTTTATGAAAATACACGGACCTTTCAAAAAGTTGCCAATCTTTTGGTAAAGCCACTAGTTTTCTTTGGAAAAAAACAATGGCAATTAGTTTTCATTTTCAACACTAGAATTAGTGAATTTTATAAATTAGTGCTAGCAATAATTGAAAGGAAATTATGCTTGATTGGATCTAATAAGAAATTGCTACACTTGAAATGAATGAAGTCAACGACTTGATCAATAGGAAAAAGCCTCACACCAGGATTCTACTTCCAAATAAGTTCTCATGGTCATCATCATAATTATGGTTTTACCCATTTGTTTAATTTGTTGTTGGAAGGTCTTTTTAATCAACTTTTCACAAGGTGGGATCATAATCATTCAAGAAACAATCAACTTTTTATTAGGGGCAAGAATGATATTTTTATTAAATTTGTTCAAATCAAGATTCAAAGTATTAATACAAGGCGATATGCTGATAGGGTGTATTGGCATTCTTTTTTTTATTTTATTTTTATTTTTCGAATCTGATTCAGAGGGGCTGATTTAAGGCCGGTCTACCCCTTGAACCACTTGCTGACCCAAAACACCCCCTGTAGGGGTGTATCGGGAAGGTTCCGATACAATATTTATCGATACTTTGAACCTTGGTTCAAATGAACGTTAGGGTCAAAAATGTTATTTTCAATTTCCATCTAATAAAAGGTCAATTAAGTATATTAATTGCATACTATAAAGTAAGTTTTAATAATTACATGAAACTATGGGGAAAGTTTTAGTAAATGACCATTATTTTTTTTTTCAGTTTTGGTTTATCTTGTACATATGTCAATTTCAAGGCTGTAATTGGTTGTTTAAATTTAATGTAATGGCCAATTATATATATATAAATAAATAAACTTATATAGAACAATCAAGTAGAGAGTATCATAACCATAATTGGGTGGAAGCACTGAAATCCAAAAAATTTAATTCTTGAAAAAATGAAAACTCCACGATCAACATCCAAGGGAGTTCCAAAAACGCCCCACAGCACATTTGCACTTTGCTCAGATGTGCTGTGGGGCGCGCTGGGTGAGGTGCAGATGTGAACTCCATCCAACAAAGCTTGCACTTTGTTCTGGTCCCTATTGAATTCTCAAAACACAAGCAACAATATTTTCCTTCTAATTATAAAATCCATATGATAGCAGAAATGCCCTTTTAAAGAAGGATACTTTTCATTATTTGTGGAATGAGAAAAGTAGATATAGTAGTGCATTGACATATTCCAAATAAAAGGTCGTAATCGTTCTCGATGAATATGGTGCATTTGATTGTGACCGGTTATGTAACTTGAAATACATAGGCCCTGTTTGTTTGTTGGTATTTAGCAGAGGGCTAAGTTGGTCAAATGAGAAATGGGTCAAAATCCTTGCATTCATATGCTGCTATATTGAGTCATATGATAAGTTAAGATATCGGAGAGTATCAATTACCTAGGTACCTGATACCCTCCTGTAAGATGGATAAGTAATTTATCCGCACACTAATAACATGTTCTGTCTCTTGCCTCTCTCTTTACATGGGCAACATGTATTATACAAGAACGTTGGAATGTCAAGTAAAACCTAGGAAAGGGGTGGTGTGAAATTCAGGCAAGTGCTAATTAGCTGTCGATGGTTTGTATTGTAGCCCTGACCAATTCCTACCCAATAGTTTAGTGGTAGGCAAATGGTAGGTCTTACTATAAATAAATTTTGGAGAGAGAGAATGGTGGTTGTGTTGTTGCCCTTGAAGCAAGAATTAGATGGTAGAATAAAAGCTCAAAAAGGGATCATACGCTAATAGCGGAAATTGCTGAATTGAATTATTTACAGCCTCGGCCATTAAGAGGACTACAACCTCCTTAAAATCTTATTAAGGCAAAAGCTATAAGCTTTTCGGTTCAGCCATTTCAGCTGTTACCATCAAAACGTCTCTAAGTTTATTTCATGCGATAGAATAAATTAATTATTATTTGCATTTGCTTTAATAATATGACAATTATTGTACGTGGACGATGATCAGGGTGTCGATTGTGAAGGTAAGAAGGCATCAACATACATCATCATGTTGATGGCGGTGTCAAGATACCAATATACACATGTTAATACACTGTTGTGGACATAATGTCCATGATGATATATATATGATCAATTGTTAAAAAGGAGGGATGATAATGATGCACTGAGATGGATCATTCTAATAACAAAAACAATGTAGTTTCAGTTTGTTAAGAGGTAATAAGTTGTTTATTCATTGATGCTGAATGTGGGTTGTATGGCAGAGTTGCAATTGAGGATGATGATATAGAATGATTTATATACTCTTAAAAAGGTTATGATATAATAATGAACTAAACACTGATCGTTCTCATTCTAGTAACAGAACATATATTGGACTAATGTGGTTCAAATAATCACAGTGAGAGACAAACTGTAGTTGAGATAGAAAAGAGAAAAGAATATATCTCCATTTTCCCCAACAGATTTTGTCATTTTGATGCGACCCTCTATATATCTACATCGACAGTTCAACCAAAACGACAACTTCCCAAATCACAATCTCTCCCAATCATCCACACGCAATAAAATAAAAAGAAAACAGAGAGAGAGGAGAGAGAGAAAGGAATGCCTGGTCTAGCCCAATAGAGGCAACCAGAGAGCGACGGAGCCTCTCAGATTACTGTCAACATTCCTACAAGCTTATTCCTTTCCGCCATGAAACCAGTAACCAACCCAAAGGTCTCCTGTGCCATGTACAAGCGTACAAACATATCTGGAAAATTGCACACCTTTTAAAAAGGATTAATAGAACTCAGAAGCTCTCTTCCTTCAAATATTACACAGCTGTAGTTAACAAAAAGGCAAAGACCAAAGACAGTTCTCAAATGTACTATTTCTTGCTTTGGATTTAGAGCTTCTCTCTGTACCATGTTGGATACCTCACAAATCCCTTCTTGATTTGGATGTATTCAAATTTCAACCCCTCCAATGATAAAATAATAATTAATAAATCCTCTCTCTTTTGTCTTCCTCCTCCTTTGCTCCAACCTTTTTTTTCTTTTATTTATTTATTAAATCTTTGTTGCCACAAAAGACCCAACCGGTTGGATTGGATCGTTATAGAACATTAAATTTTGTTGATTCCTTATCCAACAAACTCCTCTTGATGGACCCCACTCCACAACTTCCACATGGAGGAGAGAGGAGAGAGGAGGGGAGTCGTACGATTTTACAGTTTTAAAAAACAAAGGGAAAGCAAAACAAACATATATCCATTCGGTCCAGCCTCCATTCCAAGGACCAATGTCGAAGCGTGCTCGGATTTTCTAACTACCAACAAAAGGGCATGAGTGCCCATTTTCGTAATTTCGCACCGGTTATAGACCACTTTGGAAATCTTAGTCGAGTCCGATTATGATGGTCTGCCACTCTATATAGACCCCACATGACCGTCAGATTGACATGTGATGGGGGTGCACCTACTGATGGACATCGGTACAGCTCTGACACCGTCACGTGACGATATAAGCTTGTAGGTCCTACAGTCCATCAAGGGATCTGATCAGAAACGGACGGTTGTGCGACGTTATCCATCGCATAATTGAGTGTGCTGTGTATCTCCAGATGATCTCCTCTCGAGATTTTATAAATATTAACTCCTGTATAAGAGGATGTACATATAACCATCTTTCTTCTCTCTCTCCTTTCTCTCTCCAGTTAGTGAGGTAACCAGAAAAAAAAAAAGAAAAAAAAATCCAAAAAATTTGGGCGTCTCATCAGAGCTCAAACGGGGTTGGCTCCAAGGAAGAAAGGGGGCATAATCAGCAAGTTTTAGCTATTTTGGGGTACTTTCCGAGCTATCGTAATCTTGTTGTTAGGTTTGAAGCCTGCAATTTTGATTCAATTTAGGTTTAGGGTTTTGAAGAATTCTAACAGGTTATGTTTCTGCGACGAAGCAGGTCATGAACTTGGGGCTAGGGTTTCGTTTCTGTTCTTCTGCATAGGAGGGTTTTTGGTTTTTGGTTTTTCTTTTGTTGCTAATTCTGTTCTATCGTCGAGGCTGTAATGCTCGACTGATGGCATCGGTGAATCCACAACCACTGCAAAGTCTTCCTCCTTATGGAGGCCATGAAGATCGTATGCAGATCCCTATTCAGATCGATGACGACGATGGTGGATACGAAGCTGATGGAATTGGTGCCGGGGGTGATGATACGATGGATGATGTCGATGACGTTCAGGTGAATTCCGGGAATCCTGTTGATCATGGTCTTGCTATGGTGTCTCGGACCAGTGAGCTGACGCTTTCCTTCGAAGGCGAAGTGTATGTTTTCCATGCGGTGACGCCGGAAAAGGCAAGTCTTTACTCATTTTCTCTCCGTGATTGATTACAGTTCACTTTCTACTGGAATTGAAAATTCACAGCTACGAGTTTTCGTTTCTCATTTACGTTTGTACGAATATGACGCTGTTCCGCCTTTTGGTGCGTCATATGTTACACGGGTATCCTGCAGATTGCTTTTGACTTTCTTTCTCCATTTTTTTTTTTCTTTTCGTTGATTTCCAGTTCGAGCACTTACGTACAGTTTTTTAAACATAATCTCAATGCATTTACCGGGTGATGTATGCTTTCTTTTGTCTCTTTCAGAAATTGGGTATAAACCCTTCTCTGTTACTAAACCATCACATAGATACGTACCGTGACCTTGAAGTTGCTTTCTTTTTTTCCGTCTATTTTCATGTAAAGGAAATTATTCTTGGGTTGCTATTATAAATTGAGCGAAAGGGGAGGGGGCGGGGGGGAGGGAGGAGCATTAAAGAACCTTTTAGATATGCAATATTTGAGGTATTATGTTTCACCTTATAAGCATGGTGTACAGTGCTTCCTTAAATATTAAAATATAGGTGAGTAGGTTATGATGGCTATGTAATTAACATTAATGCCTGAGTATTGGTAATTCTGTTATTCCTTCCTTTCTTTTCTTAAGACAGGAGTTCTTTGTAAGTTGTAACCAATCAATGAGTCTCCGTGAAAAATACCATATAATGCAGTAAACAAAGTTACCCCAATGTTGTAATAAACAAAGCCCCTAGGTTATTGGAGATACTTAACAGTGGAGACTCATAGGTTATGATAGGATGGGTGAGGGACAAGTGCAGAGTTGGTGGTTCTTAGAGACTATTGTACAAGATCAGGTAAGGTCTTAGACATTTAGATTTAACCCCTCCTTTCATTGGACTCATAAGTTAATTAACTACACACACGTGCACAGGTGCGCACACACACTCCACCTTGCTTTAACTTTTCTTTTGGTATCACCTGTTGGGGCTTTCTACTTTTAATTTGTCTCTTAGGCTTCTATTCATTAATAAAATATCTTTTTTAGTTTTATCAATCAAAAAGAATATTAATTTGGGAGCTTAATCTTTATGACTCAAATGGGTTAAAATTATGTTTGCTGCTTGTGGTTCTTTCTATTTAGTTTTAAACAATGATGATGTTACTCATCTAGCTTGTGCCATTAACAGGTTCAAGCAGTATTATTGCTCTTGGGAGGGCGAGATATACCTACTGGTGTTCCTAGTATCGAATTATCTTATCAGAGCAACAGGGTATTTATTAAGCCATGCATGCATTGTAGATTTGGATTATTCTGTAATCTGTGCATATGTTCAGTGTTTACCTGTTATTTTCTATAGGGTGTGGTTGATATTCCAAGACGCTCAAATCTTTCACGGAGAATTGCATCCTTGGTTAGATTTCGTGAGAAGCGGAAGGAAAGAAATTTTGACAAGAAAATTAGATACAATGTAAGGAAAGAGGTTGCACAGAGGTGAGTCTGATCAACATTTTATCTTATAACTGTTGTTGCAGTTGCATGGATTTATTGGATTCTGTAAATAGCCAGTAATTTGTGTAGTAGGGTAACACTGCCAATGTGGATAAGTATCTCAGTCTTATGAGTCTAATTACAATAATGGTCACTAATACAAAATCTAGTTGGTCATAATTCCAGAAGGGTTTCAAAGTTGAGGCCATATAGCTACTTGGAAAAATAGTTGATAGGTGGCTCATGTATGCCATCACCATATATGTGTATGTGTGTGTGTATTGGAAACAGTAACTTCATTAAGGAAATTTTAAAGTATAGAAGTCAACCCTTAGTAGAGGAAGTTGAAGCAACAATCAAAATACGTTACAGCACTGCCCAGTACAAACTCTCCCTCACATTCCCTTGTTTTGCTAAGGTATCAGCTAAACCATTAGCTGATCTTCTTGCCCAGTTAAAACAAGCACTCACCTCCTTTGTTAAACTAAAAATTTCCCTTATGCGGCCATGCTCCCAGACATCCTGTCTGCATCCACCAAATTACCAATTTAGAATCTCCCTCTATCTCAATCTAGTGTAGCCCCAATTGTTTGGCTAATCTTACTCCTTGAAGCAAAGCCATGATCTCTACTCTTAAAGAATCTCCCACTCCTATTGGTCTGGAATAAAGAGAAATTCCTTTGCCTTCACCATCTTTGAATGCTTCTCCTATTCCAGATGGGCTTGGATTTCTTTTTGATGAATGTCCAGATGGGCTTGGATTACCTATAGAGCTTCCATCAAAGTTAAGCTTTCTCGTTTTCTGTGTCGGTGGGGACCGAAATTCATGTACCGCATGCTTAAAGGAAGTTGTAACTGCCACAACAACCCAATTACTGCAAATGTCTTCAGATAAGAAGTCCTTAAACAAATCACTTGACTTCAACCAATGAGGCCTTAATGGTTTCTCTTTTCACTAATTCTTCCTTGGATCTAAACAAAACACACCTTTGAAGATTCTATTGTTTCTTCTGTCCCACACTGACCACAACACAGCTGCTCTTGTAGCTCTCCACATAACCCTTCCACATATCTTCGGTTGCCTGCAAAAAGTTGGACCAAAGAGACTCACCACATTCGGAGGCGGGGGCCACCTGCAATCAAAGAGAGAAGAGAACCGGGACCATATAAAGAGCACAAAGGGATAGGAGATTAATAGGTGTGTCATTGACTCACCAGAACCCAAGCAAAGACTACAAACAAGGAGTGAAAGGCAAATACTTGTCCTCTTTTTTTTGCAATAAATCCAAGGTATTAATTTTTTGGAGTATCACCTCCCAGCAAAAAGACCAAATTTTTGGAGGTACGGGGCTACACCACACCTCCTTTGTTGGGAAGTTCGCTGCAAAGTTAGAGGACCGAAGTAGGTTTCCAAGTTCTGCTATCCATACATGATTGATCCAGGAAGATTGTCCCAAACCGAGTAACCAATTCATCAACCATCCCCATTTCCGAGTCCCTTGGACCCCTCCTCAAGTCCAGATCCCAGTAATTGTCAACATAAACTGAAGGGAGCACTTTTATTTTGTTCTCTGAAAAGGGAATAGATAGGAGGCAACCTATCTCTAAGGGAACTTTCACCAACCCAAACATCTTCTCAAAACAATACTTCGTTTCCTTTAGAAAGAGTTGTGTCAAAATATTAGATTTTGCTTCATTTGATAGATTATTTAATTACTTCCCCAAAAGACCAAGATTGTGTGGCTCTAACATTAATTGGGTGAGTTATTTCCGGTTTGAGTAATTTATGGTTTATGGTTTATGGTTTATGGTTTATGGTTTATGGTTTATGGTTTATGGTTAACCAACGAGTCTTGTGATGTGACTTTTTAAAGATACTTTGAGTTTTTTTTTTTTTTGATAATTAAGATACTTTGAGATTTTGAATTGATGTTTTAGTAGTTTTAGGATTGTCTCTGCAAATATTAGTTTTATAACTTGTTTCCTTAGTAAACATTCTTAATGAGTTGAAAAATCAATTGCTAGTAGGTTTTTAGGAGTACTAAGTTTTGAAGTCATTCAACTGCAGATACGAGACAGAGAGTGCTTAGATGTCTTTAGATTAAAGAGATGGATCTATATATGCTCCATGATATTGCTGTAATGGACATTGAGATTGAGAATAAAATTTTGCCTTTGGGTTTATTTTCTTTGACTGCAAAGCCAAGAGTTTTTTCTTTGTTTTCATGTCTCAGTTGAAGGCTTTGTTCTTTGGCACATCTCCACTGAAGTTTTAGTATTGAGTTTGGTGTAGCTCTCCTAATTATTATTGGGTCACCTCATTATTGTTGAGGATGGAAAGTAGAAGCTTGCCCTCTGGGTCATTTCTAGGGAGTGCATGTGCACTCTTTCCCATGTTTGTACTATCATTATCTCTTTGAATTGATTAGTAAAGTTTCAGATCAGTTATCATCAATTAAAAAAATGAAAGTGAGATCATTCATTCTTCTCTGGTGAGTCTACTACCAATGATGGCGGTAGTTGATCCTTGTGACTAGCCAAACAAGGTGTTCACCCTAATAGTTGATTAACAAATTATAAAAGCTAAAAAATAAATAAAAAAGAGTAATCACAATATGATGAAATCTCTCCTGGAATCCTTTCCCAATGAGATCTGGAATCCCTTCCAGTCTCAGTGCCTCAGCTCAGCTAGTCTTGACAATGCATTTAACAGTAAGCATTTAAATACAAAAACAAAATATGAGAAAGATTATATTATCATTAATATTTTACAAATATAAACCCATATATATATACACACACACACACTAAATCACTGACATATATATTAAGTCATATTACCAGTAACAGGCCAAGATAAACTTTGGTGGTCTTGGGTTCATGTAGGCAAACAAACAATGTGGTGTTCATGCTTGGATTAGATGAGTCATGAATAAGCCAAGTTGGTTCTGCTCATTTACAATTCTAGGTTCATGTAATCTTCCATACTTTGTTGAACTATGCAAGACAAAAAGTATGATGGAAAGTAGAATATATCAGTTGTTCTGGAAACTCTTGATTTTCAATTGTTATAATGAATCTTAAATTTACTTGAATACAATCTGAGATGTTTGGTGTTTGCATGATATTATCATTGCGACATACTTTTCATTTGTTTCTTTGGCAGGATGCATCGTAAGAATGGTCAATTTGCATCCTTGAAGGAGAGTTACAAAGAAGGGCTAGCTGCCTCTGGAAGTTGGGATCCTTCACAGGGTCAGGATGATGGTACACCTCGTCCAGAAATTGTGTGAGTTTTCAAGCTGATTTTGCTTTCATCAGTTTCTTGATTTAAAAATAATTATCATGACGTGTGAGCTTTTAAACTGGTGACATTGGATGTAAGTATGCCTGCCTTTATAAAATAAATTGGGAAAGGGGAAAAAAGGAAAAGAAATAGTTTTCCACCTATTCTTACAATCTTTTGTTTGCGTACTCGATCAGTCTCCGGAGATGTCAACACTGTGGCATTAGTGAGAAGTCCACTCCAGCAATGCGTCGTGGGCCAGCTGGTCCAAGATCCCTTTGCAATGCATGTGGCCTTATGTGGGCAAACAAGGTTGGTATACATTGGCAACCTATGAATCAGTGCACTGTTTTTATACTGTTCACTAAGTGACTCTTTTATGTTGCACAACTGGACATGGCTTAGCACGGGTACTGATTCAGGTGCTTATTCTCCTTTAAGCACAATTTAGCATGCATTGATCAATCATTTAGGAAGACGATTTATGGAATAGACAAATGAACATGGAATAGAAATATCATGGTCAAAACAAAAATTGTAACTACCGTGTAAAATAGGAAACACTTCTTCTGTACAAAAAGAATGGTGGAAATACTCATTGTCACCTTAGTTATTAAAGGGATATCTTCTGTGACATGGACAGAAATATCATGGTCAACAATTTCCCATGAAGGTGTGAGCATGATACCATTACAACAAGAAGAAAACCTTTTCCCAACCATATTTCATTGGTTACATAATTCCTGTTTCACATCCCACTCTATTCAGAGTTATGTGCATGATTAATTTGTGAGGCTTTCGCAGTTTAAGGATAGTAGGATACGATATTGTGTTTATTTTATTTTATTTAGATTTAGTCCATAAACTCTAAATTTAACTCTAGATTCCAGACTATGTTTGGGTACCTTCAACATTCCCAGGTTTCCTTCTTTTTGTGGAAATGTAGAAAGCTTGGTTTATCTACTTTTTTGGAAAAGTAAAAATTAAAAAACAAAATCCCCGAGTTTGCCAGGTATTCTTTTTACTAGAATATTTGTTTAGGAGTTCTTATTTTTGAAGTGAGGAAATTCATTTTCTTGCTTTCAGAAATCTGAAGGTAGCCATCCTTTTCTCTTCCCTTAAGTTGATAAGGTTCTATTTCTTGGAACCAATGTTCTAAAAATTGTAAAAGTATTGTAACTCGTAAGTCATAAGATTATTTTTGTTTTCTTACAAACTTGTAAAAAAATTAAAAACATATGTACTAAAAATCTAATATATATGCTTATCGAAAAAAAAGATCTAAATATATACAGAAAAGTGATTTTCCTTATTTGTAATCCATATCTACCATATATTTGCCTAACGCACTAGAGTTTACCACTTGCACACAAGAGGCTTAAGATAATATAATCAAGTTTGACTTAAAGTCAAGTAACTCATGTACAATAGCTCTTTAACCTACTTATGATGGAAAATGAACTCAATATGGTTTCTAAAGGTCATAAATAACCTAAACAACCATTTTCTAGTAAGGCCTTTAAAACAAGTCCACCTTGAAACACTTGATTTGAATTGCATATGTAAATATTATAAGATTCATGAATCAAATCTAGACATCTAAAAAAAAAAAAAGATTCATGAATCAAATCATATGATTCAGACAGAAATCATATGATTTTTGCAAAAAGGGGTTCAGACATAAGATTCAAATTGAAACAACTGTGGTTCATGATTTGGATCATGAGTTATGCTTGCTGCTATTAGAAACATAATTGTCAAGGCCTATGCCTAAGAAACAGGGTACCATGGAGGTTGCCTCAGTTAAGTGCTTACCGCTTAGCTATTTGCTACACAGTGCTAGGACAAAACCGGGGGGGGGGGCTCAACCCCTGTATTTTCTGATTTTTCTTTCTTATTTTTTTTCTCACGATTATGTTGATTTCCTATGACAGGTCTTATATTTAACATGATTTCAAACACTTTGGCTTAGTTTGGAAGGAGTACAAATACAAATATGTAAAGGGAAAAATCTTATATTTTTGTATTATTTGTATGTATTTGTACCCTTTCTGAACTGAGCCTTTAGTGGATAGAAAGAGGGGGACAGATTGCCACTTTGGGGTGATTGGGACAAAGTGATTGTATATATATCTAAATCTTTTTTCAAATCAGTAAATTTACATGTTACCAATCAAAAGTATATTGATTTTCCATATTTTAATATGAAATTTATGCTTTTTCATGAAAGATTATTGATTTTTTTTTTTGAAAAGAGGTAAGGTAAATTTTATTCATGAAGATAATTACTAGTGAAAGATGGTTGCTGGTTTATTGATAAAAAAAAGATGGTTGCTGGTTGTTATGTAACCTAGGGAATTACCTAGGATTCAAGGTTTGTATTTAAAGTAAACCCATTGCCTAGCCTTGGTGCCTTGAAAAGTATAATTAGAAATGAAACTTCTGTTTTCATGGTGCTGAAGGTCCTTCAATTTGGTGAAGCTCCAATGAAGGTTGGAATTGGAGGCAGGGAATTGGATGTTTGTGATCAGTTTCAAAAACTTCCTTTGTTTTTACTACAGAAATTTGGAGATTTTTTTAATCATAAAAAAAAAGAAATTTGGAGATTTTTTTCTCTATTGACCTTACCATTTGGCACCTTCTGCTATAAATGGAGCATCATTTCTAGCATTACTCAATAAACAGAGTTGATTGTGATCATTTTTAATCATGTCTTGTTTTGATATCCAAATTTCTCACTAACACCTTACTGCTTCTGATATAACTTTCTAATGTGTATGTTGAGATGGATGAGTGGAAAAAACTGAGAACTTAGAAAGGTTAGGACCAGAAATGAAGTCATTCAAAGGAACCTAGGAGTAAGTCCAATAGGTGATAAAATGAGAGAAAGTAGACTTAGATGGTTCAGTCATGTGCATATACAGCACCCACAAGAAAAGGCAATAATTTATAAGTTGAAGGGGCTAGAAGGGCTAGGGACAGACCAAAAAGGACATGGTTTGAAATGGTAAGAAACAATTTTAGTGCTCATAATTTAACAATGGATATCACATTAAACAGAACAGTTTGGCGAAACAGGATTCATGTAATTGACCCCATATAGTTTGTATAAAGCTTAGATGATGAGCGATGATGTCACTTTCTACATCTGCTCAGCAATTTATTGGATTTGCAGGGAACTTTGAGAGATCTGTCCAAGGGAGGAAGGAATGTTTCTTTTGACCAAAATGAGCCTGTGAGTATTCTTTGAAACAACTAATCATTCTGTTTAAATGTCCCACAAAGTTGTAGGCCAACAATCAACATGATTGATGCCCTAGTTTAAGTAGTCTTGAATGTTACCTGGCTTCACATGGATGGCTAGAATGTGGGACTTTGTCTTGCAGCTTATATTCTTATTAGTTTTTATTTTATAGCTAATAAATTTTTAAACTTGGTTTTTCTTTCAGCACATAATATAGCTTGATTCTCATTTGCCAATATCTGACAGCTCTATATTGTCAACTTCGATATATGATAATGATATAGGGGGCTTGAAGATTTTCATACATGTGCATTAAAAGGCTCTCCATGGGAAAATAATCATATAATCCTGGACAAATGAGAAAAATACTTTTCTGGTCCAAATAATTTGACCTCTGATATTTTGGATTTACAGGGAACTCCATGTGAAACAAAGGTATTGCCCATTGAAGCCGAAAATCCTTCTACCAACCGGGATGAGCAGGTATCTTGAAATTAATTACAGATGTCTTATCTCCAGTAATCTGATAAATTTGGCAATTCTTGGCATGAGAATTATGCAGCGAATCAAAAGTTCAGTGAAAATCATTCTATTTTTTTTTTCTAACTTAATCCACACTATAATGTGGGGATCTTCAGGTAACTCTGAAGGATCTTCCCAGGATTACTACAGGAAGTGAGAATCCTTTGGTCAACCAGGATGACCAGGTATTTTTCAGTTCCTGTCATTAGAACATCTTCAATTTTATAGATAGCTTTTAGTAGCAGTTTTATGGAAAAATTCATTTAAGTTTTGGCTTTAGGTTATTGAGATTTCTGTAAATGCTATTGGTGGATTAAAAAAAAGTCGAGTATGGGGTTGCATGAATGGTATATGAAGTTCCTCATATGGACTGAAAGTTGAAGTTTCAAATTGGTGTTATTTATTGAGTTCCTTCTATTTATTTGTTAAACAACAGGGAAGCCCAGAGGAGATAAAGCCTTTAGCTGTGGAGATTGGAAATCCTTCTGTTGATCAGGTTGAGCAGGTGTACTGTTTCCTGGAAATTAGAACTTAAGAACCATGACCACCTTACTGCGTATGGATGGATAAATCCATTAGTCAATGGATGATATTATTATGAAACAATTTTAAGACTGGCACCTCCAACCTCTCTGTCCAATAGGGCGTTGCAAGTCCTTACAAGCCTTACACTAGAATTAAACTGGCACTTGAGGATATACTTTTATATAACGTTGTCATAATTGTTTATTCATTGTTTGTTTACTAGATGTTCTAGAGTTGTTGAGTTAATAGTATGCCACTCATGGAAGTCTGTTGAATGCTCTTTGCTAGCACAAATAGGACTTTATAAGGGGCTTTTAAGAGTTTTCATTTTAGTTCTTTGTGAACTGCAGGAAAACTTAGATGATCTTGCAAATGCCTCTGAAATAGAGATTCCTTCCAACTTGGATGAACAGGTAATAACCTCCCTCACCTCCCCCCCCTCCAGATAGAGAGGGGGAAGAAAAATATCCGAATATAAACCAAAAATGTGTTGAGGCTGTTTTACAAAAAAATAAAAAAAATAAAAAAAAGAGTTTCGGCTGTTGGGCTTGAAATGCTAGTACTAAGCTTTCTGCTTTCTTACAGCCCGACATGGGTAGCGATGGCCAGGGAATCATCACATCAAATGGCCATGAAATTGAACCCTAAGTGCATGTTTGCCACCTGACCGTGATGAGGAAGTACGTTGCTGGTTGCTACTGACATTAGACGTCTGGAGAAGGTTTATGTTCATAAAATACTAGGGGATGATGTTATTTGTGTATGGGAGTCGTGTTGGAAACCAAGCCCAGTGTTCAAATCTATGATATGTGATCAATTTCCTAGTTTTTTTTTTTCTTTTAATTTTTTTCCTCCTTCCATTGAATTCAATATTAAATATGATGCCTTTTGGGTTTACCTACGCTTTCGAAATGTGTAGGTGATTTGCCCTGGTCTTCTGTTTTTTTGTGGTTACTTTTCTGTGGTGTACTTGTGCATTTGGTGGAAGGTTTCTTTTTTGTTATCCATAGCCCCGCCCATAGGAGGCTTGCATGTGAAAGCCGATTGACTCTAAGCAGGACCTTTGTCCCACTTATTCCTTTCCAATAGTCAGTCAACAAATTTGGTCCCCAGGGGGGGGAAAGCCTAAATAGAGCAACAGGTGCAAGTGTGTAACAGGAACAGGATCCCCTAAAATTGACAACGCTGGCGCGTGGTAGTAACAAACTCTACTAATACCATGTGGCAATATCGGATTCGGATTCGGTCAACCCATTCCAAAAAAGCATAAATGAACTATTGGGCATTTTAATCTAATGCCACGTGGCATACTATGTTTGGTAAGATGGAGACGACCCCAAAACAGCCGCAATTCAAAATAGTAAAAATGTTGATTAGTATGCTGGTTAAGTGGTTATCTGGTTATATCCTTTCGATCCCCAGTTGAAGAGTGACAGGTATCCCAATTCCCAAATGCATGTGAAGACTACGGAATATGTGAATGTCTGAAGCCGTCTGTTAAGTTAAGGACCTTATGGTATTCAAACTTCATAAACAGAATAAAAAATCCATGAAAGAAAAAGACGAGAAAAATAGAAGAAAAATTTACATTCTTTGCTCGTTTTTCATTACAATTTAAATTACATACGCTTTCTTTTCTTAGATTCTTATCTTAAAAATCTATGCTGCTGGAAAGTCATGATACCCGAGGTGCTTTGACCATCAACCACCCCCAATTGGATACAATTCAGGTTTGGAGTATTCAAATCATCCAAACCTGTGTCCATTCTCTCTTCATAGGTCGGGTTTGGGCGTTGGGTCCATATATCCACTATGCATAATTGCATCTGTTTAATGAGGTTCAGGCTCGGCTGTTACCGGTGGTTCCGGATCCCAATAAGAAATTGGCAAAATCTTAATAAGAAAAACACAACAAAGCTTGAATTTTGTTTGGAGTTCTTTTCTGTGTCAGATTTCTATCCCTTGTTGAATATATGCAGCCGATGTGGAACCATTTTGGGCCATGTTTGGTTTGATAGAAAATAAGCGAGAAAAAGGCAGATTTCTATCCGGTTTTGAATTATTGAATATATATTGGCAAACATTCAAATCCCTGGCGTGTCATCTGTCACATGCCACGCCTATTGGATAATGCAAAGAAGTCCCAACAAGGGTGCGTTTGGCCTCACCAGATTTTGGAATTTCTTCGTAAATATAAATGTTGAAGCTTCATCTCAGCTCTCCCCGTATGGTCTAGCTGTTACAACTCCTCACTTCGATCGAGACGCCTACGTTTCTCTTCTTCGTCAATGTGTGGAGGGAAAATGTATTGCCCAAATCAGAAATGTTCATCTCCACATGATCAAATCCGGTTTTCCTCTCCTCAGTTTAGGCAATAAGCTCGTTGATGCTTACCTCAAATGTGGGGGCCTCGATGATGCCCGCAGACTGTTCGACGAGATGCCCCAACGGCACATTGTCACTTGGAATTCTATCATTTCGGCTTACATTCGCCAGAGAAGAAGCACAGAAGCTGTAATGCTCTACGAGAGGATGCTCGTAGATGGAGTTATAGCTGATGAGTTTACGTACTCTAGTGTTTTCAGGGCGTTCTCCGATCTTGGTCTTCTGCGTGAAGGTCGTAAAGCTCATGGGCGGTTGGTGGTTTTAGGGTTAGAGGCCTCGAACGTCTATGTTGGTAGTGCCCTCGTGGATATGTACGCTAAGTTTGGGAAGTTGAGGGATGCCCATTTAGTCTCGGAACGAGTTTTGGAGAAAGACGTGGTTTTGCTGACGGCTTTGATTGTCGGTTACACCCAAAACGGAGGAGACGCTAAAGCTCTAGATGTTTTTGCGAGCATGGTCAAGGACGGTATCAAGCCTAACGAATTCACTTTTGCAAGCATCTTGATTGCTTGCGGAAATTTAGAGGATGTGCAGAGGGGGAAGTCAATACACTGTCATGTTATTAAATCCGGATTTGAGGACAAAGTTTCTTCGCAAACTTCGTTAGTCGCAATGTATTCCAAATGTGGCTTAATTGATGATTCTTTGAAGGTTTTTGATCGGTCTATCAATGCAAATCAGGTTACATGGACAGCTCAGATCGCAGGTCTTGTTCAAAATGGTAGAGAGGAGTCAGCTCTGTTGATGTTACGCCAGATGTTACGTAGCTCAACAAACCCAAATGCTTTTACCTTATCTACTGCTCTTCGGGCATGTTCAAGCCTTGCTATGTTTGAACAAGGGAAGCAAGTCCATTCCCTGGTCATGAAATCTGGACTGGACACAGACAGATTTACAGTAGCTGCACTTGTAGATATGTATGGGAAATGTGGGTGTGTCGAAACAGCTAGATTGGTTTTTGATGGTTTGGTTGAACTCGATGTGGTGGTTGTAAACTCCATGATCTACAGTTTTGCCCAAGGTGGATATGGACATGAAGCGCTCAAATTATTTGATAGGATGCCTGATTTGGGACTTCATCCAAATGATGTCACATATGTCAATGCTCTCTCTGCCTGCAGCAATTCAGGGTTGCTTGAGGAAGGCCATAGGATCTTCTCTTCCATCCATAGCAACCCTAGAATTGAACTGTCGATAGATCACTATACTTCCATGGTTGATCTTCTGGGACGTGCTGGAAGACTTGAAGAGGCCGAAAAATTAATTATGCAAGTAAAAAATCCAGACGTGGTTCTGTGGAGGACATTGCTTAGTGCCTGTAGAATTCATGGGGAAGCTGAGATGGCAAGAAGAGCTGCAAATTGTGTGCTTGAGCTTGATCCAGGGGATGAGGGGACTCACGTCCTGTTGTCAAATATCTATGCCTCAGCTGGCAATTGGAGTGAAGTGGTGAAGATGAAAAGCACAATGAGGGAATTGAGATTGAAGAAGAACCCTGCAATGAGTTGGGTTGTGGCTAATGAGGAGGTACATACATTCATGGCTGGAGACTGGTCCCACCCACGGTCTATGGAGATCTATGCAATGATAGAGGAAGTGATGGTGAAGATAAAGGTTATGGGCTATGTACCAGATACGAGATTTGTGTTGCAGGACTTGGCTGAGAATGAGAAGGAGAAGTCACTGTCTCATCACAGTGAAAAGCTTGCAATAGCTTTTGCACTGCTCAGCAGCAGCAATGGGAAAACTTGTATCAGGATTTTCAAGAACCTTCGGGTTTGCGGGGATTGTCATACTTGGATAAAATTTGTCTCTAGGATTGTTGGAAGAGAGATAATTGCTAGAGATGCAAAGAGATTCCATCATTTCAAGGATGGCTTCTGTTCTTGTGGAGATTATTGGTGACCTTCAGAGATTCCATCATTTTAAGATCTCTTCTGAGCCCTTGATCTGTGCAGTGACCATCTCAACCAATTAATTATCCATCAACCCTTTGCTCAGGAGCACCTTAATGATTGATAACACCTACTTTACGAGTCATGGCCAAGACTGAAACGTCTAGATGATTTAGTGCCTAAAATTGACCAACATCCAATCGACCATTGTCTAAGTCGTAATCAAATTGGTTGGCAAATATTTCCATGGTTTGGTTATTGATTTATACAATTTTGCTGCAGTCTGCCGTAGTTTTATTTGATTAGATAGAAGAAAACATTACCAAAAGAAAAGGAGTTTTTTTTCCTTGTGTTCTCAAGTAAATTTTCATTTCTTATTTATGGCGATGTTACATAGAAAAGGAGAATACAAAGATGTGGGGGTGAATTGGTTTGGACCTCAACCATTTAAAATTTGGATTCTAACTTTTTTTTTTTTTTTGAAACTTGCCACCCTAAAGGAGAGAAGAAGAGAAACCTTATTTCTACTGATGTGAACTTAAGCATTTCTTTGGACCTTTCTATTTTCTAGGAGAGACAGTCGCAGAAATATGCATTGAAGTGAGACCTACTTCTTCAATTTGATCTTGTGGTGATCCAAAATGGTCTATATAGCCGTTTCTTTGGAAAAGCGAGGCTGCAATGGTTAGTGATGCAAAGTTTGCATTTTACACTGCTTTAGGCTTTTCGGCCGGGCCCATTCAAATTTTGGAAAAAGGCCAACCCGAGCCCACCTAAGATGCATCTTGCAATGAAGATGCCCCTTTAGCTCTTTTTCTTCACTAAAATAAAAAAAGGCCATAGCCATACGATTGCTTAGACCCAAGGTTCAAAGTATTGATACAGGCCGATACACCGGTATATCAGTACTTTTATTAAGTTTTATTTATTTATCAAAACTGGTCCAGAGGGATCAGTTTAAGGCCCGATCACCCTCTGAACCATGGTCTGACCCGGTACAACCCCTAGAGGGGCGTATCGGGAAGTCATCAGCACAATATGTATCGATACTTTGAACCTTGCCTAGACCCAACAAAATATATATATATATATATAAGCACCACTTAGATTACAACTGTTTATTGATAATGAAATATATTGTGAATTAGAAATTTCCAGATTTTAGCATTTTGAGCTGGTAAATTTGAAAGGATAGAAAATTTCAACTAAAAGTCAAGGTAAACTTTGACACTCTGCAACACTACGAGAAAATAACATGAAAGTTCTCTTTCAAAGAGATGCATTCACCAACTAAAAATAGGGTACTGTTATATGGATTGGATTGAGTGATAACTGGTTGCGAGTCTTGTGACCCTATAGGGTCGGAGCTAGAAATGTCAACAGTTGGGTTTAAATACCCGAGACAATGTGACCCGTTTAAGGTCAATGTAGTTTTACCACTTAATCCAACCCACTAGGTGGCAATTTTGTTTAATCATTAGCACTTACAAAAAGGTTTTATATGATGAAAATTATTCAACTGACAATATTTATAAAATAGTTTTTATTGAAAAATGTGTTAGTATATATAAAATAAATAAGATTCCTTCATTTAACTAGAAGGTTATAAATGTAAAATAAATTTGAAAAAAAAAAATCAGATTCACATAAAATATTGATGTAATAAAAATAAAATATATAAATCAGATAAAAAATAAATAAATTATATTCCAAACCACATAAAAATTATAATAAATTTAAGTAAAATTTTTATCCCATCTTACAAATTTTTATTTATTTATTTTTATTTTATTTTGCAAAACCCTGACTATCACCCACCTATCCCTTGAATTGTGTCAGATTCCCCCACCTGTCTAATAGTGACAAATTTGGGAAGTGGAGAATCAATAATTTGCCCTGAAGTTAATCTCACAATATACCCTTTAGAACGCCTTGAGGTTTAAGGCTCAGCATCTATGAGGCAGCGAGCCTACAACCAAAAGAAAAGTGAGAAGGTGCATTTTCGACACATGCCCAGAGATCATCCATGAGTATTAACTTTTGAGTAGTGATATCAGCTGTGAAAGAGATCTGAGACGGATATCTAACCTATGTAATTAAGATTGCGTTTGAATGCGGTGTAAATACCGGACCGGGGGAGTTCTGCACTCATTGGTCCAGTATTTACACTGGAAACAAAGTATTTTCGGATTAAAATGCGTTTGCATGTCAATTACACCGGTCCGATTTTATCATCTATTATAGGTGGCGTCTTTGTTATCAACTGCCAGATTTTTTATTTTCAGATGTATTTTTACATGTCAATAAAATACTTTCAGATTGAAATGTTTCAGCCATTTGTTCTGCTCTTACAAGTTTTCCACCTTTTCCTGTTTTACTTTGTAAATGACAGGAAAACAAAGTTTTCATCACATCAGAAGGGCCAAGGGCCAAACAATAGATCAAATATTCCAACTTAAAAAAAATTTCTGCTATATTATGTTAAAACTAGCAAAGCCATTTGAGAACTTGGGGAATAGATTTCCGGAATCGTTTGCTGCCTGATACAGTGCCCCCCAGTTTAAAAAGTTCAAATTCAATTCAAAAGGAAAAAAGGGTTGGCAACTGGAATTTAATTTCTAAAAAAAAAATTGATAACACTATTCGGCCATAATGATCAAATGACAACCACGCGGAACTGGATCCAGAACCAGAACACTTATCCAACACCGAGTCACCGACTACTTACAACGCATCTCCTGTATAAGTTGCATGATCCTTTTACCATCACCAAAACCAAATTGAATGCTAGGGAAAAAATGAAACCCAGAGCTGAAATTCAAGGCATGGCATAGTCTCTAGATTCCAGGCAGTTAGCAAAGTCAATGCAAATATGATCACCCATGAGTCAGCTGGGGAGCGAGGATTGACACCGAGTTGTTGATAACCAAATCATTTGATGCAAGACATATTGTCTCTTACCCCAGGGTGCACACACTGGCTCAAACAAAATCCACCAGGATGGGCCTCTTCTGGAAGAAAATGGAGCATTCTTGTAGAACAAAGAAAATCACCCTCTCCTGTTACTCTTTTACGGGCATCATTTAACAAATCAAGCTATGTCTATTATAGTCTACGGTCTACCAAGAAATAAATGTAACATACGAAGCAGAAGAGGCAGAAACTTTGGGCTTTGTATATGCTTGTTAGAAGAAAATAACTGACTCGCATTTAGCCAACTTTGATTGATGGATATATTGACAACAATCACCTCCCCATCATGGAGAAAGTAACCAAAAGAATATATTGACTATAGTACCACCAAAATTCAGCGTGAAGACTGAAGACTGTTTGCATTGCCTCAGAGATCAACTGTTGGATAGGATCCGAGTGTGAAATGGCGTCCACTTCCATTGGAATCTGCACTTGCATGCAATGGAGATTGTAGTTCCCCTGAGTGAGACGATTTTCGGGATTTTGGGTTCTTCGGAGAAGCCATGTAAGATGTACTGTAATCATTGCTTGTACCATATAATGATGATGAAGGCAGCCCATGGATCTTTGGCAATCCAGTTGGATCAGTACCCAAACTATAACCTTTCTCAACAGTTTCAGCTTCCAGTGGTAATTCGTCCAAGGTCTACAGGGGCATTAAAAAACAATCAGTGGACATGGCAAAAAGAGGCAGAAAAGATGGTAGAATAAACCTTACAACTTCTGAAAGAAACTGACAGAAAAATGACAGCAGAAGCAACGGCCCTTGTGTAAATAGATCCATTTTGATAGAACTGAAACTGGATTTACATCCACCAATCTACTTTATTCTGGATAGTCATCTGTGTTATCTCTAACCAAAAGGGGAAAGATGATTAAAATGACCTGATGGACAGCCATCAGGTTATATCTTTCTTTGGATGTCTCTCAGTTGAACAACATCCATTATCGTGTTTGTCACATCTGCTGCTATGCAATTAATACAGTTAAAAGCCATTATCCAATGCTGGTCCCTGCCATCTGGGGTCTTGGGAAGAGTGTAAGGGTGGACCGGATACAGAACTAAAGTTCAGTAATTTTTTATACAAAGTGGCACTCAGTCTAAAACCCACATTCTCATGCTTGTCAGCCCAGGATTTTACCATTATACCAAGCAACCATTGGTGGAGAAATAAAATATGCTCTGCATGACAATCTTGACGGAATAACGAGGAACTTACCCTAAAAGCTTGTTGCAGGACTCTCAGTGTCTCACGAGTGCGCTTCCTTTTCATGGCCACTTCATCAGGTTCCTGCAGCATCTCTTCAAAAAGGTTTTCTCTGTTTTGGAAGAAAAGACCAGCACAAGGTATCAAAATGTAATGCAAAAATAAGGTAGTTTCTCTAGTGGTCCAGATCAAATCGAGCAAGTTCAATTGTTAAGTGAAAAGCAGGCGCATAGTCAACATATGGTACCTGTAAAGCTTTTTGATAAAGACATTGCGCAGTTCCCGTTTGGTATGGTTGACCTGGTATGAATAGACATTATGAGATATTGCACTCCTTGAGTTTAGGCCTCTATTAATATAAGAAAATAATGACAAGACTATTATCACTAGACAGACTAGAGTTTCAATGTCAGCTTCCAGTTGCTGATAATCATATCTAAGAAGAAATGCATATGCAATATGGATATATTGCCACAGGAGCTTCGATATGGATTTATGCATTAAACAATGAAACATAACATGATAAGAGCACATACCAGGAAGTGAATAATTGCTTTAGGCACAGAATCCTCAATATTCTTCCTCACGATGTCATAGTATGATCGCAATAGCAGCTTTGTCACTGCAATTTCAATCGCTTCCTGCTCTGTATGGCTGTCTGAGGGCCTCAAAACCGTTGGGGGCTAACCACAAAACACCAACGACAAATCTTGTTAGAGTGAAAAAAAAAAAGCAACATTGGACACTGAATTTATCTTATATGGAAACCATGAAAATACCTCTCTCAACAGGATCGTAGAGAAGGAATGTTCCATGCTTTGAACAGGTTCACTATATGATTTGTTTGTTGAGATCTCCTTTGCAGATGTACGGTTCTCACTTCCACCAAAAATTGATGAAATTCCCCAACTTGAACCCGTGGAATTTCCTGATTATCAATCAAATCATCAACAAACAAGAAAACAAATATGGTCCTTATTACTTATAGCGTTCATAAGTCCAGAGTCCAGACTTTGGACACCACAGTAGATTTTGAAATAAAGAGAAAGCTGATAATTCAGCGTAGTAACACTGGATATGGTATCTACAAAACTATCCTTTATTCTAAGTACACATTACCAGAAGATCCAGGTCTCTCGTTTTCTGCAACGGGTCGAGCTCCCTATTTGTCATCCAGATTGAAGCAAAAAAATAAGGGTAAATCAGAACAAATTCACAGCACTTGAACATGGCAAAAACTATCTTTCCTATCTAGAAGGTTAAGGACATGGTCATAACTAAATGAAAAATATTAACATAATGTACATGCCTGATCAGGAACAATTCCATTTGCTGATGACCTAGCAAGAATAGCTCTAGATTTCAAACTTTTTTCAGATGCGGGTACTTTATCAGGATCTACCCCATCCTAAATCCAAATTTGCAAGCAGGTTAACAAATATACCAAAATGATGCCATCAGCTCACTATAATTACCACAAATGTTAAGCATACAGCATCTATTTAAGAGTTTGTTTAAATAAGCAACAAGCGCACCTTTGTTCTAGACATGGTTACAGATATCCTGGCAGATTTGACCTGCTGCAGTGCAATCTCTACAGCTTTACTTCCACCGACAAAATTTGGGTGAGAAGTGTTTATGTAGTCCATCTATAAAACAGAAAAATAAAATTTCAGAGGCCCAATGTCAGCTTGAAAATAAATACGGTTCTGAGAATTTAGTAATTAGTACACATGCAGTGAAAAGCCCATAAATATTAACTAACTGCATTGTCAAGGAAAACAAGAGAGATAGATACAGCTTTCACCCCTTTCAGTAAGTAGAAATTAGATAGAATTGCCATACTATCCACTGGGACAAAATATCACAAAAGATACAGATTCAATTAGTTTGACTGGAATGATCATTAAAGTGGCAATTACTGTATATGGAAAAAATCAGTAGTAACAATCCCACGTCCTGGAAATTCAACCTTAACAAACTTCTTAAAGAAAATTTTGTGGACATGCTCCTTGACCCATGAATGCAATAAAAACATACTTCCCTGAGAATATACTGAAGGCTAACAAAAAAATTAAGGGTATTTTGTTCCATGTGATCAAGATTTTTTTTTTTAGCAAAGGTAACTTTTATTAAATTAAAACAGGAACAAGTACGTGAGAAAATGTACTACAAGCTAAAGCAGCTGAGGCAGAATTATAGAGGTAAGCAGATGTCACTATACAAACTTTCCTTAGAAACCCCTGATTTTGTAAAGCTGTAAGCAACAGTGTTTTGCTCCATAGGAATCCAGACCAGATTTACATTCAATGACTCTAAGATATCTCGAGCTTCAGCTAGCAGATGAGCAAGTCTCCAAGGCCCTCCTTCCTTCTCCCTTAGCCAGGCTATCATATTCAGAGTCCCCTTTTATAGTTAAGGAGCAAAAGCCCAGCTGTTTAGCAAGCCAAATTCCTGTAAGTGCTGACAAGACCTCTGCTTTTGTAGCATCAGCTCTCCCAATTGGACCACTATAAGCCCAGCTGATCCCCCTCTCCCCACAGACACCACCAATTCCTGCTTGGCCAGTAGACCCTTGGGCACTACCATCAAAGTGCAGGATCATTCCACCTTCTTCCCTAATAAGGCTTCTCATGGTCAATTCAAATCTAGGAGAGGACTGCAGGATGGATGGAAGGTTACTTTGGAGGTCATTTAGAGACAGACCTTTGAAAGCTTCAGAATTAACCATCCAAAGGTTACAGAAGAAAGTTATGTAAGAGATTAGGTCTTCCACATTTCTGAATTTGTTTTCAAAGGTTCCTTTCTTCCCAAATACCCCAAAGAACTGCATGTGTCACTGTACTCCAATATACCCTTCCTCTTTTTACTAGACCTTTGCCTTTCCACTGCCACAGGAGGTCCACTACCTTCTCAGGGAAAACTCAGCTGTAACCAACTATGTTTAGGAAGAAACACCAAACCTTCCTAGTGACAGGACAGTGGAGAAGAATGTGGTTAGCTGTTTCACCATCACCAAGGCAGAGAGGACAGACATGAGGGGAGATACATAACCTTCCTCTAAGCTTTTTCTGTATTAAACCACAAGTATTTATTTTCTTTTAGCAGGCTTCCCAGACAAAGAAAGAAATTCTAGGGGGAACATGTGGTATCCAAATGTTCTTAACCATGAAGGGAGTGATCTGATCTTCTGAAACTAGAGCCTTAAAAAAGGAGTTAGTTGAAAACTTGCCGGTAGGATTAAGTTTCCAGATCCTTTGGTCAGGGGAGGCCGGGGAGATGTAAACCTCCCTTAGAGAGTTTAGCGAGTTTGCTATTTCAGCAAGCTCTATCTCTCTTAGAGGCCTTCTAAGGTTCAGATTCCAACTGGTTCCTGAGGAAGAGTGACTGAGGCTATAGGCTACCGTGGCTTCTTTGGAGCAGGACAGGTTAAAAATTCTATGGTAGGAGTTTGCAAGGGTGTCATCTCCCCACCATAAGTCAGTCCATAATTTGGTTCTATTCCCATTTCCCACCCGGTATCTTACAAAATCAATAAAGAGGTCATAAACAGAAGAAATACCTTTCCAAGGGTTAGAGGCTTTAACTCAGTTTGAGTGGACCTTGCTATCCCAACCATTGGCATGTCTTCCGTACTTGCTCTTGATGATATTTGTCCACAACGCTTCCGTCTCCAAGGGGAACCTCCACAACCACTTTCCAAAAAGAGCTAAGTTCCTTTCTTTGATATGTCCTAGCCCCTAACCACCAAGGTTCTTGGTCTTACACACCTGATTCCATGAAACTGGATGACCCTTCTTTTCGCTGCCTCCTTCCCATAGGAAATCCTGCTGAAGCTTCTCAATCTTACTTTTTTACTTTGCCCGGGATACTGAAAACTAACAAGTCTAATAAAAATCCATTTGAACCCATATAACCCATATTTTCCAAGAGAATACAAGGGCCATTATCCAATGATGGTCCTTGTTATTTAGGGTCTTGAAAAGGGTAGACTGGATAAGGACCTAACCTTTGGCATTTATTGCACAGAGTTGTCATTCTAAGACTCAGTCACATTGTCAGCCCTAGATTTTATCATTCCATGAGAATATGTGGCATTCAATTTTTCAAGAATGACAGCAGCATAGGGAATGAAATCAAGTAGGTTGTTAGTTGTGTCTGGGATGAAAATTTTTCCTCGTTGTGTGCATATATCAAAATCGAATCAAAAGATAGTAGCCACCACACAATGTCACCAAGTATAATTATAATCATAAAGTCAACCATCACCTTTGGACAAGTTCATTTCAACCTTCTAACTTTGCATTGGCCAATACACCAAAACTCCTGGCACTGGAGTAGATACACATAAGAGGCTACTCTAATGCATAAACAAATTACATGCATCCATCAACAACTAATAGCTATAAGGAATATGCATTAACTGGTTTACTCGCAATACTCTATGTATGCATGAAGATGCAAATTAGCATAAATATCAATTCATACTTGGCTCATCTTCAGAAATCACACTGAAACAAAGGGAAGTGAGATTAGAATTTCAAAAATCAAGTTGTCAGCATACCTCCATTTCTATGATATGTCCAATCATTGTCTCTGAAGGTTCAAGGCCTTCCCTCAAAAAATTTCCAATAACCTCATCCATGCGCTTTCTAAGAATAGGAAACCGCTGCAGTTCACTAGCCATACACCGGTGGCTCATCTGAAGTTAACATTTAATTCAGTATTCCACAGATGCAAAGAAAAAACTACTGCTGTCTACGAAAGAACAGAAAAACAACTCTTCCAAGACACAAAGCTGATATTTAAAATCACCTGACCTTTATTAACTCATCATAGATAAACCTTGCACATTGGAGGCTTGGATCCAACAAGCGGGCTATCTGTCTCCGGACAAGATTCTCAAATGGCACCTAAAGAGTTAAATGTTCAAAAAATACAATAGAGAATCAATTGCTAACAAAATATTGGTGCACCTTATACCACACATATTCAACCATTAAGAAAAACTGTTGTACTCACCTCTGGTACAAACAAAGCAGATTTAGGACCAGTTGCATTCTGAATAGCTGTACGAATGTCATCATCAGTTAAATCATCACACGGATCCACCTCCTGCCATAAGAAACAGATTGCATCAGATGTCCATGGATTGGGAGAAAAATCAAACTATGCAGTCGATCTCCACAACTTTAGTTCTAAGAGCACAGAGGTAATGAAAAGCCTCTATCAAGTACTGTTCTAAAAGGTGTCTCAGGCGTAATCCTATCCCCATATGGCAAGGCAGCACAAGGATGCCTATGGCACTGATGTGAAGAAAAAAGTGTTTGTGGGGTGTAAGCCTTAGTTCTTGATGGGTAATCAAAGGTAGAAAATTCCCATATCTCATAAAGGTCAATTTTACATGTGTATCGGTGCATAAAACAAGAGGACAAAAAAACTTCAAAAGGATTATTTATGTTAATCTTCAGTTATTGTTTCTAAATACCGTGATTCTTTGTTAACCCTTGTAAGTCAAAAATGAAGAGTATAAAAACAGCTTGGTCAATTGGCATTTGGATTTGAAGATTAAGTAACTCCCCAGAAAGCTCTTCATTAGGCCCCACTCTCTTGGGTTAACTAATGGTTTTTTATTTTATTTTTTTATTATTATTATTTTTTTTTTTTTTTTGGGGGGGGGGTAAAACGCATTTGTGCACTTTGTTTCCACTTCCTTTACTTGAAATCGTATCTTCTGACTTGGGAGTTGATGTACTTTTTTTCTTTTACTTCAATGGAAATTTCTTCATTTCATCACCAACTTAACTTGAATCCCTGTTTTAGGCTACCCAGTATAGAAGGAAGAGGGTCAACAACAGAACCAATATTTTTTTAATATTTGATTTCTTGATACATGGAGGAAGACTTGGGATGAACTTAGTTTAGTTACAGAAATCCCCCATTGTAATATTTGTGTTTCTTTTCTTCACTTTTGTACATCTTCTCATGTGCACTTTTTTATTAAAATGAAATCATTGTTACCTTTTCTCAAAAATAAAATAAAATAAATGAGTTATGTCTAAATAGGTCACAAGTGTCCAAGGAGTTGGTTGCTCCATAAGGGACTCCATATCAATATAGGTTGCCATATTGTAATCACTTTGAATCTGTGAGTAGTGATGAATGAAAAAACAATGAAAGTTTAGTTTGTATGATTCCTTCTTCTCAGCTCTCTTCTTCCTTTTCTTTCTTTTTTGATTCTTCTTTGTACTAATTTCTTATGCACCTATATAAATCCAGCAGTACTAATATCACATTTTTGTGGATTGCTTGTCAACAGTTTTTCTTTCACCAGAGCAATTGATACCTCTCCTTTTATTACCATTCCAAACAGTCATTTATCCCCTATTAACAATCTGCCTAGTTCCTGTACTGGTTTTCATCTTCAATTTTTTTTTGGTAAAAGTGGTTTTCATCTTCAACTGAGGGGCTTTTTTACTTTAGGTGTCCACACCAATTATAGAGAGCTCACTTTATTTTGTACATATAATAATGTGCACAAAAACATAGGAGAATGAACCATCTCCATCACAAATGTGATCAGGCATACCCCCCCCCAAAAAAAAAGGAAGAAAAAGAGACAGGACTTCACTATTTCATCCACATCCCTGGCATGTCTACCTTTTTTATAATTTTTTCTTCCCTTTAATATGTTTTAAGTTATGATTAAAAACACCCAAAATGTAGTATTCAAAATGGAACAATTAAAAGATGAAACACTACTGAGAGACACATGTCAAAGCAAGGATATACACACTTCCAAGCTCTTCACAAAGATTGATTGGAAGATATAATGAATTCGTGCTCCACCAGACAGTTCGGATGTTGCCATTTCTTCATTTTTCCCTTCCACCATTGACGTAAAAGCTGTCACCAACAATTCACCTATCAGTGATGATCTCAAGCAAGCACCATGAAATGAAAAGGCATAATAATCCAGATGTTAGAGAAATAAAACAATTGCAAAAGTCACAGTAACCTTCAGAGTATTTGGACAAAATGTTCAAGAGGAGAGTTCCCTGACCAGCCTGTGAAGTATAGGAAACACATAAAAATGGAGTGAGTACAAGCATGACGAAACAATATCACCTTAACTAGGGAAAAAACTTTGTAAAAGGAAAGGCATGTACCAAAAAACAAATAGTAACCTTTAAGAAATAATAACAAAGAGAAAAGTGCATCTTATATTCAGGTAAAACTTATGAAGTTGACTCACCTTTGATTCTGTTATTTCTCCATAGCTGGCATGCTCCTTTGCCACAGAAACCAATGCAGAACTTATACGTGATTTCAACCCTGGGAGGACTGCCTTTATATGCTGCACCAGAATCTGCACAAAAAAGTTAACACATTAAGCATAGCTCATAACAGAATATATATATGCTAAAACAATTCATGCTACTTTGTAGAACCCAGATATTAATTGCTACATGTACCCTCCTAAATGGATGAAGTGACTGCCACACACAAGCCAAATTCTGGCACTGTTGATTCTGGGCGGACACTTTGCATGCTCTTTCTTTTTCTTGCTTGTTAATTTGGCATGAACGAACATCTAGAATACGTATAAATTCAACCTTTTCCAGGAAGACATTCCTAGGAAGAAGAGAAACTTTCTTCTATTGGTATATGAATTTTGAACTTTACAAGATATCTAACTGTTAACCAGTAGAGACCTTTGGTGCCCCCACTTGGACCTAGTCCATCACTGAGCACACTTCTACAGACTAAAATTCAGGTGGCAGAGACCGGTCAATTCTCAAGCTAGGCTGATCCCAGTTCACTTGCCATTACTAGGGAAATCCCTGTTAGCTTATTTTCCTCTGCTTATTGATATGCTTAAATTCAGCAGGTGACCCCGCCTGACCTGGGGTTGCAAGGCAGGCTCCGTCGACAATAGATCCCTTGTCAGGTCACACACTTGGCATCCCGATGGCAACATAACAGGCACGACATCTGACATTCTACCATCTAAGATCAGATCACCAATCATCTATATTCAACCCACCAAGTCAGACACCCTAACACAGTAACACTCATAAAATTCCAACTCTCATGTCCATATATCCATGCGGGATTGCCTGATTGGTAATTGCAATGCATTGAGGCAGGGGGAGGTACCAATATATGTTATGGAGGAAAAAATGCCACAGAAAGACAATTTTGTTTTGATAAAAATAACATAAGGCACACTACCTTACCTGGTTCAACTTCTTTGCTAATTGAGGAACACCACAACGATCAGCAAGGCCACTGTAGACCTGTAACAGCAGTTACAGAACTAAAACTAGATAAAAATTGATAAAATACTCCACAAGACCAATAAAGAGCTGCATTAAAAACATAGGCATACAGGGCGACTACGGAAAAAGTTTTCCTCATAGGCAAGTGCATCCTTAATACTCCGGTTGTTCATAATATCCTGATCAATTAATAAAAAGAAAAAAAAGAACCCGGTTAATTAGTAAGAAAAAACAAAGAAACGAAAGAAAAGCATGTCAATAAGGAAAAAAGAATGAGCATGGGACAAACAAATCAGGAGTTCTACTGATGCATGTGACTGCGAAATAACATATAAAATTTCACCACCACAAGATCATTCAACAGGATGCATTTCAGTTGCATTGTCCCAGTGATTTAAAAGGTGTGCCTAGCCGCACAGAATATTATGAATATGTTGCCCAAATCATGCAACTTAAACTACATCCAGTTGACATGCCCAAAAATAATTTAGGCACACCGCAGATGATTTAATTTGATATGGTCACACCAAATTTTACATCTTGTTGTGTCCATGGGGTACTGATGAAACATGAAGAAGACCATTATTTGAGATAGGGATGCCAACAGATGGTAAGAAAACCTAAATTTGATTCATCGATATTTGAAATTGACTATGATCTTATCTATCAGATATGTATAATATTTGACTGGAATTTGGTTTGCAATCAGATATTGAATAGTATAAAGAAGTTAAATTTAAAATGATTAAAAAATTATATACTATTAATAAAATGAATAAAAAATAACGTTAATATTGTATTTAATGAATATAATTGAATTGAAAATTACTTGTATCAAACTTAAATAGAACATTCAAATCAACTTTACTAATATATATAAAATATAAATTTTTAGTATATATGAACATATATATTTTAACAGAACCCAATCCGATCATATCAAATTGGATAGGCATGAATTCATATATAAGGGGATCGAATATGAATATATAACTTTAATCACTGAAAAGAAAAATATTAGTTGTGATTTAACTAAAAACAAGGCAGCATGGATAACCTTGTTTTAACACATAGATATGTATTAATCCACAGCTTAAATTGCAGCCATTGAGGAGCTCACAATCTCTTTAATAACTTTAATCACTAAAAATAAAAATCTTTTTGAAAACAAAAAAAAAAAGTGAAGAAATTATGCCAAACCAAACCTAAACCAAGTATCATTGGAATGGATTAAGGTTAAAGTTAGGACCAGGGTTTCAATATCAACCAGATTGGGGTTAGGATTGACCTTGACCTGATGTTAGGGGTGCAACTTAGACAAGCCCAACCAAAAGCCCAAACCAATCCAACCTGAAATTTTACACAGGCTTGGGCCTGGGTTTTTGGTCCTTGAGCTAGGCCTAGGCCTAGCCTTTGGGTAATATGAGCCTGACCTAAGCCTAACAACCCTAACCCAACCATAGCCCAGCTCAAACCAACTCCACTGCATGCATATGTACACAGACTATACATGTACAAACAGAAAAGCAGACACGAATGTACGTTCATATGTACACAGTTGTCCAACTCAGCAGTCCCTCTCTTCACTCTCTTTAACCCTCTAACTTTTGTGATTTATTTGAGTTTTCATTATTTATTGTTTTCAAAAATTAATGTTTCACCTCATCCACACAAGGAGTATCTCTTGGAGATCGTCTTTCTTATCCAAGAATGTTGCTGAAAAACTCTCTATGGGCCTCTTTTGCAACAAATATCTTACACCAAGCAACGTAAGTGTCAGAGTCGTTGGTGGGTCCAATTCCATCTCCGATGAGGACCCAAACTCCAAGCTCCAACCACCAATAGAGAACTACAATGCAATTGATCTCAATAAAGAAAGAACCAGGAAAAGAACCCAGTTCATTTCAATGTTTTAAAAGCGCAAGGTGCAAAAAAGGCACAGGGGCCAATTTGCGCCTGAGGCGCACGCCTTTTTGAAGCAAGGTGCAAAAATACAAAAATAAAAATAAAAATAAAAAAGTCAGAAAATTCACAAAAATGCCAAAAAATCAAAAAAATATATTAAACATAATATTAATAAAAAATATAAACTTAAATTTTAAAATAAATGTTTTAAAAAACCTATTATCTAAAACAAAAATGCCAAAAAATCAAAAAAAAAATATTAAACATAATATTAATAAAAAATATAAACTTAAATTTTAAAATAAATGTTTTAAAAAACCTATTATCTAAAATTAAAATACATAAACATTACATGTAAAGCATATTCAAATGAGAATTTAAAATAAAATCAAACATACAAAACATTTTTAAGCATGTAAAACCCACAATCTCTTTTTTTTCCTCAATTGCATTACTTCAGGTAGCTAATGTGATGTAAAACATATTACATTCCTGATTCTACGAGCCACGTTTGTGCCACGCCTAGGTGCACCAGGCATGCACCTTTTGAAAGGATTGCGCCTAGGACCTAGGCAAGGCGCATACCCTAAAATGTGCCTCGCCTATGCCTGGCGCACTTGAGGCGTGCCTTTTAAATCACTGGTTCATTTAGTGACAAACTGTCAATTAGCTTATTGAGAAGGAAGAGGGAAGAAGTTCAAAAACTTATTTGCTTAATAAGGATGATGTCACTCATGAAGTTCATTATAAGGATGATGTCACTTATGAAGTTCATTGGTAAAGACACCCAGACTTCTAATTTAAAATCAGAATATATATTAGTTTAAGTGATGCATTTCCTCTTAAGAATCGTACAATCGATACCAATAATGATATTTTTTATTGGAGAGAGACTTTGGAGGAGCATTAAATATGGGAAATGAGTTGTTGATGTTTTTAATTTATGGAGAGAAGACAGAATTAAGGGAAGAAATACAAAATGAACCAACCCATCCGCAAAATACAAACCTCTTGGACAAGAAACCATTGAGATCAGCAACAACCCTTCCTCTGTTTGGAACCATTCAAACACAAAAAACACATTACCAATGATGAAGCCAAGAACTTTGGTGGATACAAAAGTTTTGTCCAACAATGGTTTTGGAAAGGGCGAAGACATCCCCAGACCGGATCTTTAAAGTGGCAACCAAAAGATTAAAGCACTATATGGTTTAGAAAATCTGGGCAACCCAATGTACAGAATTCACCAGTATCAGAAAAAGGCAATGCAAACAGATTGGAAATTATGTGGGAAAATCAAGAATTGATAGAATAAATGAGGATGTAAATAAGAATGGTGAGAATCACGGAGCTTCCAGCCATCTTAGAGAAAGATGAGTCTCCCAAGATGATGGAAGATTGACGGGAAGTTCCTACACAAGGATAGAATGGACAAGCTACAGAGGTTCTACAAAAGCTATAGTGAACAAATGCGAAAGTTTAATATCTTGAGTTATTGGAAGATGTATGAAATTGGCAAATACAAATGATAACACTATTTCATGAATATGTTTTTATGTCAACAAGGCATGTCCGTGGTGGATGTCATTACAAACACTCAAAAGTGCATGAATATGCTTTATATGTTATATTTAATTTTATTTTTACGCTTTCACTTTGAATATGTGACATATGTTACGTGTATATATTTAATTTTAAATTTGAGCTAATATGCTTTTTAAAACATTTAGTTTAAAATATATATTTTTTTAAATAATATCATTTTAATGTTTTTTGAATTTTTTTAAAAAAGTCATTACAGAACAATGATTGACTTGCTCAAACATATTCATTTCCAAATCTACTTGAAAATGTTCTTTTCTGTATTCTTACAGGTCCAGTAATTAAACTGAATCATCAGCTGCCAACCATAGCTCATATCTCGTTCATATTTTAGAACATTCACTAAAAACAGCAATCGATTTTCATTTAAAAGAAATAAATCAACAAATTTACTAGAAAGCTACCTTACATGGATATTTGAAATGGAACACATGTTAAAACAAACTAGAAAGCTATTGCATATAAACACTATTTACTAAAAATTAATTGCCAACAAAGAATAAAAAACATCAACATTAAACATCAGCATGCTTACAGCAACCAAATCAATACGATATCAGGTAATTTTGTTGTTCAACAATAAGATTACCTCTTGACTACGATTCACAACACCTACATAGCCAAGTCGAAGAGGGATCACTTTTCCGAGCAAAAAATTACGAGCATCAGTACCTCTGTCCATAATATCCAACTGAATGCAAAGAGAAGAGAATATTGTTACTCATCAGGGAACAGCATTGGCTTCCAGAAAGACTTGAAATGTGTGATAAAAATAAAGATCACAATTTGATAGATACTGCACCTTTGTAATTACACCAATGGTTCGATAACCTGCACGAATGAAACATCACAGAGAAGAATTAGAACCAGATGCAAGATCTGCCTATTGTATCAGCCACATCAGCTGTCTATGACATCATTTCAACAATCCCCCACCACAAGTAGACTTGTTCATGAGCTGGGCTCAGGATTAGATTTTGCCAAAATTTGAATAGGACCCGCTCGAAGCATGATCCCAAAACAGTGTAAAGCCATGCCCAAGGCCTGACCCATGAACAGGTCTAACCACGACCCACTGTGAGTCCCAGTATGGGAGGCCCTCGGGGAATCCAGTGACTCATGGGATTGCAAAATTTGTTTCAGACAGGGAAAGAAGCATAATTTGGACATATAAAAGTCCTGTTGGAGAAGTCAACCTCAAAACTGCAAAGACGATGGCCCTTCCTTTCAGACTTTAAGGCTCCATTTGGTTTGGGGAAGATTTGGGTGGGATGGGAAAAGATGGGATGGGATGGGAAAGTGTAAAAAATTACCTTTCCATTGTTTGGTTTTATATATGGGAAAACACTGTTACGAGGGAGAAGAGAGAAGAGGAAGATGGAGGGAGAGACAGAGAACTCCATGACTGAAGCTCTGATCTGTGTCTGCGAACCCAGATCTAAGTTCCACCATGGCACCATGGCAGAAAACCTCCGATCTGTGTTTGCATCGATCTGAATTCTACCATGGCGGAAACATCTTCAACGGTGGTTACCAGCAGCGGCGGTGGTTACCAGCAGCGGCGGGGCAGAGGATGAAGATGAAGAAACTTGAGCTTTCTCGAGTTTTTCCACCGGGGTTGCATGGTTTTAGTGCAACCCCGTTTCCACAATTTTGGGATCTCGCATCCCACTTTTTTCTCATCCCATCCCCCCGTTTCCCTTGAAACAAATGACATCCCCATCCCACAAACCAAACAGAGCAAGGGCTATTGCATGTAGGCCTTAATGAATGTCGGTTAAAGGGGATGTGTAATAGGTCCTCACCGTCATACACAAGCTTGTATACCTATTGATGCTTCTACAGCCTTGGATTAGATTCACAGTTTCTCGATTGGTATACATCACATGCTTTCTCTGTACTTTAAGTTCTAATACAAGTTTATTGGATTCAGATTTCTTTGTTTAAGAGAGAGAGAGAGAGAGAAGAACAATTAACCAAGCATCTGGGAGAGTTTACCATCAGGATCAGCAGTTCCTGCTATTTGAAGTGCATCTGAATTAGCCAAATCTGCATTTGCTGGAGTAACCGCTAAAATCAAACAACTAGGATGTTTAATGTATGACAATATCATCGTTCTAATCCGTGCCTCAATATCAGATGGCTGGTCACCAACTGGAACCTTTGTTATTCCAGGCAAATCCACCAAGGTGATATCAAGAACATTTGGTGAGTGGATCTTTAGGCGTATCTGCTTGTCTGAAATACCCTTGTTTCCTCCTGCTTCCCTCTCTGTCTCTGCCTACAATTTAGAAAACGAAGGGCTTATGATTGCAATCTAAAAGCAATGGCATTACAGGGAATAACCAGTAGGAATTGAGAAACTCAACGACTCCAAAAAGTCGCATTAGATAATGGCATCTACTTTCCTCATTAATTACCATCTCGAAATTGGAAGATTGGATCAAGCAAAAGCCAAAGGAGAAATATACGTTACCATCACACTATCACTATAGGTGACACTTATACAGCACTCATTTCTATGGCTCATGCGATAGAGAGACATCATACCAAAACCATCAAGATCTAATACGACAATAATAGATTTCCGGGATAAAAGAAAAGGGAAAAGAAAGACAGTTAACTCCATCTGCCCATTACAAGGATCCAATGCACACGTAAGACTTCAAAGCTCCGGCCTTTAGAGATCCAAAACGAAAGTAGAACATATAGAGAACGAAACAACACGAATTCCAGTAAACAGTAAAAAAAGCTACAGCACAACGGCTGATATGCATACCTGAATTTCCCTGCGGATTTCGGAGAAGTCGTAAAATTTCTTCCTTGGCAAGTGCAAGAACTCCCCATACTCCTCCTCTGTTCCATCTGGCTTCCGTTTCGTCTGCAACAGCTGCAAAACCAAAGGCCTCCGAGTACAGATATCCGAACCCCTAGGCAAAAAATCCCTTCCGACCAGAGCTTCAAGAACACTCGATTTACCGCTACTCTGACTCCCGACGACAGCGACTTGGGGCAGTTCGATCGTGGACGAGCTCCCAAGTTGGGAGAAAATATCCTGGAGCTTATTGACAATAGGAATCACAGAATGACCAAGAGAAGCAGAACCCGACGAGCTTTGAGTTGAAACTGGTTCATCAGCCATGGATGATACTTCTAAGATCGAAGACGAATCGAACTGAAGTCGAATGCAGGTCGAGGAATCACTAAACTTAGCGACAGTGAGGAAGAAACCCTAATTTGAATTTGAAAGAATGAAAACAATAATAGAATAATAAATGTTTTAGAGAGCGTGTATTGGCTGTAAAATTTAGAGAAAGCAGAGTCGAAGTTTTTCCCGCACCGTCCAAGCAATCGACGATGCAAAGACGGAGTGTGGGATTTCAGATTTCTAATCACCAAACACGGAAATTTAATCTCTTCAAATTTTGATTTCAAAATGAATTTTATTCATTTTTTTATTTTTATTAAGAATTGAAAAAACTTCGCGTCGTTCACTCGCTCCTCCATGGATGAAGGAAAAGGCTCCTCGCGAAGGTGGAAAAATCCACGTCGCCCATGTTTTTTGAGAGTGTGAGATTTACGGCTGGGATTTAGGCTAAGATGGTCAATAAAGTACCAAAAATTTCCTCATGAAACAATGAATGGACCATTGGAACATGGAAATACGAATAGCGGTTGTGACTTGTGAGGGATAAAAGATTCCTTCGTCGGCGGCGGGATAAAAGGGGTTTAAGCTCCGGCGCTGAACGTTGGTAGCGTGTATCATAGGCTACATAAAATTTGATAAAAATTCCAATCCAACGGTATCGTTGCAGTTTAGATTATCAAACTTCCCTAACCGGAAGAGAAATTACCAGCAAGGATGCATCCGAGGAATGGGGTCCACCACCAACCTGTGTCATCCTCCCATTATTGGCAGAGAGGACGTCATTATAAGCCACAAATTATATAAATCAACGTTCACGATCAAGGATGGCCGATGGGGTCCACTATCTTAGTCTATAAAACACTTGTGTAGAAAACGTGCCAGTAGGGGGAGTAGTTTATGATTACTTTCATCACTCCAAATCGTCTACGGTAACCGGACGACTACGACATAACCCATTATTTTTTTATTGCTGACACGAAATTCAGTCAAATGATGTAAGCAGCAAGCCTACACGATACGCCAGATAAAGAGAAATGATGAGAACCATGAAATTATGAAATGATATACATCACTTTGTTAAAGACTAAAATTATTTCTTAATTCCATCTACCATCCAAAATTCGCAAAGGATTTCAACCCATAAAAGGTTTTCTTTCGCTGCTATTCGGGCTATAATCCATCCCCCTTGTATGGTGTTCCTTAATTAGGGAATCGGAAATCCCCTCCTTTAAAAATCGTCCCATTTTCAGGCTCCTTGAAATTCATCAATTCAAAAATGGAAATGTTTAGGAGTTACGACAAGGTTAATCATATTAATTTAAAGAAAAAAAAAGGCAAATACTACATTTTCCAAATTAGGATTCAATCCTCATAAAACCATCTTCACACCATCTTAGGGGCTGTTTGGCATCGCTGCCGTTTTTTGGAGCAACAATGCCACATCAGCACCACATCGAAAAAAAACAGTACTCCAGGAAATAGGCATTTGTTTGGAACCGTTTTTTCATAAAAAGTGGTGCTCCAAGTCACACCTCGGAAATCGGGAAGCCATGGCTTAGAGCAATGCCAAATATGGCGTTTCCTAGAGCTGCAGCTCATTGCTACCAATAGGGCAATGATGTAACACTGACGTAGCACTGGATAATGGGTACTAGTGCTAAAAACGTTTCCTGTAGCAATTGTACCAAACAGAAAAAGTTGTTGTTGCTCTAGGAAACGTCCTACCTGTCAGCAACAATTCCAAACAAAAATAAAGACATCATTTTCTRAGAAAACGGTGCTCCAAGCCACACATCAACAGCACCATTTTCTCAACTGCAGCATCAATGCCAAACATATATATTTAATTATTTTCACTCACTTGCAACTGTGCATTATGAATATCTTCATATGAATAAAGGCATAGGATATATTCCCAGTGCACCAATAAAAGGTTGTAAGGACTAAATCTAAGTTCAAATTTCCCTCTAATTATGTCTTTGGATTTCTAATTAAAAATCAATTCCCATCCAGTCGGAGCTGGATCAGTATTTAGTCCACTTATCCAAAAACTGAATTGGGATTTACTCGTCACATCCACATCCACATCCCACCATGTATTGAGAATATCTCCCCATGAATAATAACATATAAATAAGCACAAGAGATGTTTCCAATGTTAAATTGGGACATGCTCGCATGCTATGAGGTTGGTGTGAGAAGCACTCTCTGAGGAGTAGATTAGGATTTTCCAAAACTTCTATTTAGTGTGTGACAGATGACCCATTCCATTACCCAAAAAAAAAGGCTCTCCCTACATAACGTGTTAAGTTATATATACTCCATACAACCGTAATAGTATGAAAGGCATGACTACAATACATGGGCTAACAAGGAGATCGTCGATCAGGTCCATGCGAATAACCAGAGTTTCTTATTCATGACCCATAKGAAGAAAACAGCAGGCACAAAAACTGAATAAAGAGAGAGAGAGAGAGAATCAAAGCCATGAAAACAAGAAATTGGATTTGATCCGTACAGGACTGTCCTCACAGTCCCTTATAGCCGTAGTTGTACATTGGGAATATCACTCATAAAAAAAAACATAAAAACATACAAGTATGAAGATGTTTCTAATGCATGGCTGCAATGTTTCCCATGCAAGTATGGGAATATCACTCTGGAAACAGAGGCTGGGCTGGGTGAATCTCCTTTTTAGGTTTTTAGGTGAAGGTGTAGTTGGAAACTTGGAACATACCATACAACCTATCGCTTCATCTTCAAAGTGAAGTGCCTCTTCCATGTTCTCATCAATAATCTAATCGATTATCATAATTCAGAAAAATGCACTTAAAATTTGCAAACCAGTGGATTAGAGASTAGATGTTGGGATATGAGAACTAGTCTGGCATATGGTTAAGGTGGCTATACTGGTTAAGATCACTTTTACTTTGACCAAGATCTGGATCGCCTGAATAAGCTTCCTAGTCCTACGGCTTCTAACCTTCAGTATCGTCATATCATTCCCTCCCCCACTTGTCAAGTTTGCCACATAGAAGAGGAAGATATTGAATATTAGATGTAATTATGCTCATATGATTTGGGATCGAATTAATTCCATATGCATTGGTATTTCCACCAATCATATGACAGAGCTATGGACAATTAAAGAAGGTATTAACCAAATTACCACCAGAGGATTCCGAAATGTCATAATTGAATCTGACTCTTTATCTACCATCATGGCTCTTAAAGGTCAAAAAATGTTTCAAATGGCAAGCAGAATATCTATTTCAAGCTTCAGTGCAAGCTATGCAAGTTATCCAATCC